CAGTGGTTGAGCGTCATCCACTCCCCAAGAGGTCACGGTTTGGTTCCTGTCAGGGCACATTCCCAGGTTGTGGGCCAAAACCCCAGTGGGGGGCATGCAGGAGGTGGCCTGTCAATGTTCTCTCTCATCGGTGTTTCTATATCTCCTTCTCACTTCCTCTCTCTCTCTCTCAAGTTAATAAATAAAGAAAAACCTTTTTTTAAAAAAAGGAAATCTAAGCCCTGGCCGGTTTGGCTCAGCGGTTAGAGCATCGGCCTGCAGTCTGGAGAGACCCGGGTTCGGTTCCCGCTAAGGGCATGTACCTCGGTTGCAGTTTGTCCCCGGCCCTGGTTGGTCGTGCGGGTGGCAGCCACTCGATGTGTCCCCTTTCACATCGATGTTTCTCTCTCTCTCTCTCCCTCCTGCTCTCTCTGAACAAAGAATGAAAAAGTGTCCTCGGGTGAGGATAAAAAAAAGGAAATCTAAGACATGTACTTAATAGATCCGTGTCTTCGGAGCTTGGTGGGGACGTTTCAAAGTGTCCCCCACGCTCTAGCTGCGCACAAGGACTAAATGAGGGTTGGATTCTGAAAGCAGAGGTCTGACCTAGAAACACACACTCTTTGGGGTACTTTTTTATTATTATTTTTTTTCTTTATTGATTTTAAAGAGAGTGGAAGGGAGAGGGAGAGAAAGAGAGAAACATTGATGAACGAGAACATAGACCGGCTGCCTCCCACATGCCCCACCTGGGGATTTGGCCCACAATCTGGCCATGTGCCCTGACTGAGAAACTGGCAACCTCTTGGTGCACGGGTTGACACTCAACCACTGAGCCTCACTGGCCAGGCTGCTCTTTAAGCATGAAAGCAAGATCCTTGCTGCCATATCTGCATGAGTTCTTTCCCTTGAACCAATGTAAACGATGGTGTTTCAGCGGACATTTACTGTACAGCTGCACATATGCAGACAAATGTTATGTAGGAGGTTCTTTCCAGCATTGTTTATAGAAGTAAAGGATGGGATACAAACTAAATATCTTTTAAGAAAGGACTGGTTAGCCCGGATAGTGTGGCTCAGTAGTTGAGCGTCGACCCATGCACCATGAGGTCACTGGTTCGATTCCCAGTCAGTGCACATGCCCAGGTTGTGGGCCCAATCCCCAGTGGGAAGGTGTTCAGGAGGCAGCCATTTGGTATTCTCTCTCATTGATGTTTCTGTCTCTCTCTCTCTCCCTTCCTCTCTCTCCAAAATCATTTAAAAATTAAAAAAAAAAAGAAAGGACTGGTTAGCCCTGCCCGGTTTAACTCAGCAGTTAGAGCGTTGGCCTGCGGTCCAGAGAGACCCAGGTTCGGTTCCCACTAAGGGCATGTACCCAGGTTGCAGTTTGTCTCCGGCCCTAGTTGGATCCTACGGGTGGCAACCACTCAATGTGTCCCTTTCACGTCGATGTTTCTCTCTCTCCCTTCCTCCCTCCAATTCTCTCTGAAGATAAATGAAAAAGTATCCTCTGGTAAGAATTTAAAAGGAAGAAAGAAATAAAAAGAGAGAGAGAAAGAAAGAACAGAAAAGGAAGGAAGGGAAGGAAGGGAAAGGGCAGGGCAAGACCCTGGCTGGTTTGGGTCAGTGGTAGAGCATCAGCCCACCAACCAATGAGTCAATGAGTCGTGGGTTAGATTCCGGCCAAGGGCGCATACCTCGATTGTGGTTCGTCCTCAGTTTCCTCCCTGGCCCTGGTTGGAGTCGTGCGGGAGGCAACCAGTGGATGTGTCTCTCTCACATTGATGTTTCCCTCTCTCTCCCTCCCACTCTATCTGAGGATAAATAGAGGAATATCCTTGGGTGAGGATTAAAAAAAAATAGAAAAGCTATTTAATAGACAAGTTTTGTTCTCCTTCTGAGGACATATAGATAATAATTGGGAAGGATGTGTTAACTCCAAATTATAGCAATTCATTTAGATGCTATTTTGTAACTTGATTTTATTCACTGCTACCTAGCTACCATTTCAACTTGCTATACCCACAAATGTTTTATAGTCATTCTCTCATTTGATCTGTAACAAGTCTACGAGGTGGGGAGTATTGTTTTACTCTCACTTGCTTGAGTTGCAAGCATATTACACCATATATATATTTGTGTGTTTAGAGAATAATGGGGAATTTATACATTTATACGTGTGTATATCTATCCATCCATACTAATATACATACACACATACTTAGAATAGGAAATATACAGGTGTGTATAATATTTACAGGAGAAGGGGTGGAGTTAATAGATCACAGTGGCAACTGGCTGTGGACTGTCCGATACACATGTTCCATTTGGCAGAAGCTCACAAGAACTGACGTTAACACAAAGAACCTAGAATAGTAAAATCCACAGCAAATAAGAACACAGAGATAACACTAGACTAAGGAAACTCTTCTTTCCATTAGCACTGGTGTAATTTCACCCACAGGATGTGGCCACCTCAGGAAAGTGGGAATCATTAAACAGACATTCCAGAAACGTGTCACGTGATTCCAAGGTTGAGTCTCAAAACAGACTATTGTCATTACCGCAACTATTTGTCATCAGTGGCCTTTCAGATTCACCAATCTGTCCTTTGCTTAACACCATGAAGTAGCTTCCCAATAAACCTGGAAACAAGCCTAAGTCCTTACTATGGCCTATGTGTCAGTCACGGTCTGGTAGGGAACCAGAATTTTTTTTTATCCTCACCCGAAGACATTCTTGCATCTATCTTCAGATTTAGCAGGAGGGAGAGAGGGACGAAGAGAGAGAGAAACATAGATATGAGAGAGACATATCGACTGGTTGCTACCTACATGACCCCAACAGGGGCTAGGATGAACTGCAGTTGAGGTAAGTGCTCTTACTGGGAACTGAACCTGGGATTCTGGGCCACCGGCCGACATTCTAACTGCTGAGCAAAACGGCCAGGGCAGAAAACAGAATTTAAAATAGGAAGTTCATTAAACAAATGATGGAGGACTGAATATCCTAAAAGGAATATTGAGGGAACTTAGTAACAACCTCAGGAATTGGTTCCCACCTCTAAGGGAGAACAGAGAGAACAAGTTGAGATTGTCAGAACAGGAAGACTGAGGAGGAGCCATGGATACCTGATGTTAGGTCTTTAAGAAAGGGGCACCGTCACGTTGGTGCTGGCCCTGCAAGAACTTAGGGGAGAGGCCCTGCAAAGCTGGAGCTCAGGTCTGGCCAGTTTGGCTCAGCCGTTAGAGTGTCGGTCTGCGGACCAAAGAGTCTCGGGTTCGGTTCCCACTAAGAGCAGGTACGTTGGTTGTAGTTTGTCCCCGGCCCCAGTTGGGGTCATTTAGGTGGCAACCACTCGATGTGTCTCTTACATCAATGTTTGCTCAACTCCAAGATCATTTGACATTTTGGAGAAGTTGAGGGCCAAAGAGCTGTAACGGTATGCCAATACCGTACTGCAAGTTACCAACTACTTTCCCATGCTTTCATGTACATCACCTTATTTTTTTAAATATGTTTTTATTGATTTTACTTTTTTTAGAGAGAGAGGAAGGGAGAGATAGAAACATCGATAGGCTGCCTCCTGCACGATGCCCACCAGGGACTGAGTCCACAATGTGGGCATGTGCCTTGTCTGGGAATCAGAGTGGGACCTCTCAGTCCATGGGGCAACGCTCAATTCACAGAGCCACACCAGCTGTGCTACATCACTTTATTTTGCTTGCTTTCTTTCCTGGTGCAATGGTAGGCTCCTTGGGTACTGGTGAGGTCTTCAAAACCTTCTTGGATCCCAAAGGGAGTATGGATGAGTGAATGATGACATTTGCCTACATCCCCAGGAGGGGTCCCCAGAAAAGAACTGTAACTCGATACCTTCCCTTCTATGAAAGTAAAGAATATCCAAGATAGCCCTAGCTGGTTTGGCTCAGCTGTTAGAGCATCAGCCCATGGACCAGAGAGCCCTGGGTTCGGTTCAGCTAAGGGCATGTACCTCGGTTGCTGTCCCTGGCCCTGGTTGGGGTCCTGTGGGTGGCAACCAGTCGATGTGTCTCTCTCACATCGATGTTTCTCTCTCTCTTCCTCCCTCTCTCCCTCCAGCTTTATCAGAATTAAATGCAAAAAATGTCCTCGGGTGAGGATAAAAAAAGAAAAAGAAAATCCAGGACACCTGTGCTTCTCTGAAACCATACTGACAGGGGCTCTCCTGAGTGGGGAACACAGCAGGGTTGTTTCCCTGGGGGTTAAGGTAATCATCTAGTGAACGACAGGCAAACGATTGATCCAGGCCTTGCAATTCAACTGCTGGGTGACCATGGGCAGCAAGTAAGTTACCTGTTCCCTCTGGTCCTGTCTCCCCATCTGTGAATTGGTGGGTATGTTGGGCGAGGATTGCTGAGATTCTAGGTTTACCCACTGAACCTGTTAGTTGGTAGGAGCTATACCAGCGGGTTTTGGCTCTGTAAGAATAGACTGTTCCAATAAACCTTTCCAACCTAGGAATGAATGGATTAAACTGCTGGAGATAGTCAAGGTAAGGGAGATGCCAAACTGATGGGAGTTAGGCTTCCCAGGTCATGAGAGGAGGTCGCAGGTCAAAGGTCGGGTTCCGGTCAAGTTGTAGAAAAAACGGAAGTCCCCGACGGGTCCACTCCGAGCTGGGTCCCCCCAATCACGTGACTAAAACTCCAGGGCGGAGCTTCAGCACCGTGAGAGGGTGGAGTTTGATGCCTCCAATGGAAGCGCGAGTGTCCTTCCACCTTAGCCAATCAGTGCAGGGAGACGGTAAAATTTAAACCCCCCTCCTTCCACCTCCTCCTCTGGGACCTGTCCCGAAAGCGTTTGTAGAAATAGCGGCCGCTCGCCCCGCCCACGGCCGGAGAGGCGGAGACAAGGGCGGGTTTTTCCCCGCGTTCGCCTATCACTGCGCGCGCACTGGGGAGAGGCGGGCTGCAGCGCCAATCAGGGCAAAAGCCGGTGCTCCGCGGAGCAGTTGGCTACAGTTGTTGCAACTTTTTTCGAAAGCTGCGTTTCCCGGGAGATCCCAGGCGGTGACAGACCGGGACCATGGCTAGAGGTATTTGCCCAGGTGGCCAGCGCCTGGCCGGCTATGGTGGGAGGTCGCGCTGGAGGAGGGACCGTGGTGGCGGGAGCGGCAGCTGGGAGACACCCTCCTGCGGGCTGCTCTGACTGTAGCGCGGGGACTGGGTGGTGGGGGCTGGTGGGTGGGGGGCACTGCGGAACCTTCCAGGCCCCGCACCCCCCGCGAAGCCTCCAGAAGCCCCTCCCACTCCGGTGCCTTGGTTTCCCGTCTCTAAGTGTGGGCAGCAGCTGGTTTGCCTCTCCAGAGGCAGCGGATCCATATGTCAAAGCTCTTTGGCAATTAAAGCGCAGGTCACCTCCAGGGAATGGTTGTTATTGATGCAAAGACGGGTGAGGGCGAGGCTTCGCTCGCTTTGGGCCTCTCTCGTCGGGAAAGGAGGTGACCCCGAAGTGACAGCGCGAATCGTTAACCCACATGGTGGAGAGCGCGTTGGAGCAGACAGCGCGGCAGGCGCCTTCCTTCCCTCCCCACGCCCTGAGTCAGCTCTGCGCCGAGGGGCAGGGACGCGGTCCCTCTGGCCCACTTTGGGGTGAGACGGGTCCCCTGGCACCTCCTGGGGCGGCCCTTCGTCCTGCAGCTGGTCAGAACTCCTGCCCATCGGAGATGGCTTGGGTGCCACAGCACGGCCGCGGAAGGCGACGTCTCTGTCCGAAGTCCTTTGCACACTTAGTTTGCTTTCAGGACAGTAAGACCCACGTTATGCGGCAAAGTAATCTGTTGGTCATTTCCAGCTGCTGTGTCTCCTTTATGCAAAAACTTAAGCGTGACGGTTGACTGAATTATCGTTTTTAAAACGTAAGCTGGGGTTTATACATTTTTTCAGTGTTCCAAGGTGCTTGCTGCATTTTAGCAGGAATTTGCCTTACTGTAATATGCTGCGTACAGCAATAGTAATGAATAAAATAAGGATTCATTCAGCAAACATTTATTGGGCCCCTTCATTTTCAGGCCCTGAACCCAATTGCATCGTTTATTCTCCCAGCATCCCTCTAGGGTCTTTTGGGACAAGACTTACCCAGATTCTGATTAAGAAATGAGGCAGAGTGAACTTCAAGTTAAAGAGCTTAATAACTCAATCCACAGAGGAAATTAAGACGAATATTTTCCTTCAGAAAAGTGTTAGCATCTAAAACATATTAATAGTATCTGACTAATTTAACTGACAAATTTTAATAAAAAGTATGCTTCCCTGGTTCATTTTCTCATAACAGCAAAATAGATTAAACTACCTACTTCAACAGTAGTTCATTAAAAGAATAGTTTGCTTTAACTAATCTATGGGGGGGGGGGGGTGAAAAAATTAAGCAGTTTGCATTGAAATACTTAAATACTTAATATGGGCCCAATAATAATTACCAATACTTGATAATTACCATTAAGAGCCAGGCACTTGATTATCTTAATCTTTATAAATTGTTATTTCCGTTTTTCAGAGGTGGAAGCTGAAGTCCAGAGTCATTGTCCAGACTCTGGCCGTGCTGTACCTTTGCTGGTTCCACTGTACCCCTCTTAGCCAAAGCCAGACTCTTGTTCCCAGCTCCTACCATGGCAAGCTTACATACCACCTTTGTAGTTTATTGGTTAGTGATTCCCACTGTGTCACTTGATCCCCAAATTAACAGTTACTTATTTTGTTACATATGTTTTTATTGATTTTTAAGCGAGAGAGGAAGGGAGAGAAAGATAGAAACATAAATGAGAAAGAGAAACATCGATAGGCCGCCTCCTGCATGCTCCCCATTGGGGATCAAGCCTGCAACCTGGACATGTGCCCTGAACAGGAATTGAACTGGGACCTCTCAGTCCATGGGACTAGGCTCAATCCACTGAATCACAGTGGCCAGGCAGCAGTTACTTATTTCTTAGGATGTATCACTCATGCAAACCATTCAATTGGGCGTGTGGTATCATAAACATCAAATCATTTACAGTACTTCAAATCAGGGGTTAGTTTTTTGTTTGTTTTTTTTTCTTTATTGGTTTTAGAGAGAGAGGAAGGAAGAGGGAGAGAGAGATGGACACATCCATGAGAGAGAACATTGATCGACTGCCTCCTACGTACCCCCCACTGGGGATTTGGCCCACAACCCTGGCATGTGCCCTGACCAGGAATTAAACAGGCGACTTCCTGGTGCATGCATTAATGCTCAATCCACTGATCCACACCAGCAGGGCAAGGGGTCGGTTCTTTTCTTCTAGAAAAGTGGTCTTTGTTCCAAACTTGTAGTTTACTTTGAGAGGCCTGCTGGGTCACAAGAGCAAAAGGTTCAGAGACTAGGCAAGTTCTGTCTGGTTTTGAAGTTTTACAATCATGCAAATATTTTCTAACTTGAGTGTCTTAGTTTAAGGATCAGTCCACCTCTACTGCTACTGTTAGATGGCCTTCTACTTGGTCTCCCTCTTTTCACTTTGGCCATCTCCAGTGTATTATCTCTCAACAGCTAGAATGGTCCCCAAGAACACAGATTGTTATCATGTGACCTTCATTATTCTCCCTACCCCCAACCTTCCCCATTGTTCTTAGGATCAAATCCATAGTCCTCACCATGGCCTATAGGGCCCTAATGACCCTTTTGTCCTCACCATGCTCCATCAGCCTCTATGTTCACTGTTGTGTCCTTACCACAGGGCCTGAAACAAAGTAGATATTCAATAAATGTTTGTGGAATGAATGAACTGCTATGTTAGTGTCTGAGTTCAAAATACATTCTTTATGGTAAACTACTCTCATATAGCAGAACTGGGTTCAGAACCCTTAAGCAAGTGAGGGTTCTACTCTTCCCGAAGCATCAATTTCTACGTAGAAATAGTACCTTCTCATAAATGGTTGGGAAGGTTCAATTTATTTGTTTGTTTATTTATTTTTGCAGGGAAGGTTCCATTTAATAATGCCTTATTACAGGATCAAACTCATAGTAAACCGTCAGTAAGGTTTAGCTCTTCACGTCACTGCTATTGAGTTCTGTTTCCTTGAGACCCTGGGCAACATTAAGAGTTTTTCTTTCTGTTGCTGGGTGTATTTGTTACATGTACCTACGAGCGCCTTCTGTACAGAAACAGGAAAGAAACTTATACTGAATAATTTATGTTACAATTTCTAGGTAATAGAGCTGCAGAGTTGAGAGGAGTGGTTGCTAGACTTGTGTTGTATCCCCTGAACTTGTCTAAAATACAGAACAGTGTGGCCTAAGGATGTGTGTGTAGGGCAGAGGTTAAAATAGTATGTGAAGTGGATAAGGTGGCCTTAACAGCTGCTTCCTGCTCTCCAACCGGATTCTCATGCAAGTTTGGCACCTGCAGACCTTCTCTGCCCTACAGGTGTGACAGACACTGTTTCAATGGCTCCGCCACCTGGGCGTCAGAGTGCCACTTTATTTATTTATTTTGATCCTTACCAGAGGACATTTTTGCATTTATCTTCAGGTAGAGCAGGAGGGAGAGAGGGAGGAAGAGAGAGAGAAACATTGATGTGAGAGACACACATTGACTGGCTGCCACCCACACAACCCCAACTGGGGCCTGGGAAAAAACCGCAACAGAGGTAGGTGCCCTTAGCTGGAACCGAACCCGGACTCTCTGGTCCATGGGCAGATGCTCTAACCGCTGAGCAAAACTGGCCAGGGCCAGATTGTCACTTTAGAAGCCTCTTTCACTCTTCGCTTGGCCTCTTGGTGGTTGAGAGGGTGGGGGTGGGGTGGGGGAATGGGTGGTGTTCCCTGGCCCTGCCCCAAAGGATGCAAAAGCTTGAGCTGGTTTGAGAGTCTTTTCCTGAGCTGGGTCCTGCCATTTAATCCTACTTAGTTTTATCCTGTCTAAGGGGAGGTAGCTACTTAAAGTGACAGCTAGTTGTTCAATCTGTGGATGTTGTAAGGTGCCCTTTGTGGGTTATGGAATTCACGGTTCTTGCATTTTATCCATGAGGACACAGGCCTAGATTGGGAAAGTGACTTGACCATGGTCACAACGCATCTCTGGGGCTGATGCAGGGGGAGAAACCCAATCCTTGCTGCCAGGTCGTGACCCAAGTGGCAGGAGCTATGTGCCCCGAGGTGTCTTGTTTACATCTGACTTTGCACAAATACAGGGAGTCTTTGGCCTCCGGCCCTCAAACTCTGATGATTACAGTGTCGTGGCACAGGGCAGCGAGCTATGTGGAGATAAAGCACCAGAGTTCCTGGAACCCCTGCCTGCCTGGTACATTTCCTCATGGGGCGTGGGGGTGGGCACAGGAGACCCTGGTGACTTGCTAAAAACTTCTGCAACCATTTGCTCCTCCCAACTGTAATTTCCGCAGCTGGAGGGTTAGTGGCTGAGTGTACACTCCGGACTCAGTTGCCTGGAGACCCATCTCTATTTCCGAGTGCTTGGGCATCGCCTCCTTTTCTGACCCTCAGTTTCCCCATCTGTGAAAGAGAGATAATAACATCTACCTTCCCAGGGCCGTTGGGAGGTTTGTGTGAGATAAGGTATGCAAGCAAAGCACCCCGCAATCTTCCCATTATAACCCTGGCTCTGTCGCTCCAGGGCCTGTGCCCAGCAAAAGCCTGGGTTTCTCCCTTTCCCTTCCGTGGCCTTGGGCAAGCCCCTGCCCTTCCCGCGGCCTCGGTATCCTCACCTTGCACAGGACCTGCCCCCTCCCCACAGCTGGGCTCGCAAGAAGGATTAAATGCCCATAAAAACACTTCCTGAACCCAGGCTCGGGCACACCGCTGCTGATCCCAGAATACCCGTGAGCCGGGCGAGCCGAGCCCGGTGGGCGGAGAGCCGGGGCTGTCATCATCACGTCCCCGGCCTCGGCGAGTGGCTGAGGACGCGCGAGGGGGCGCGCCCGAGTCGGGATTCGTGGCGACCGCGGCCCGGCCTCCCCTCCCCGCAGCCGCCTGCGCCGCCGGCCGGCCCCTCCCCGCGCAGGGAGCCGACGCCAGCGGGCGGCGCGCAGGAAGCCCCAGCGCCTCCCTCCCTGGTCCTCGGTTCCGGGCCGGCCGGGGTGCCGCGGCGCGGAGCCGGCCCGCCTCGCAGGCCATGGGGGAAGGGGGCGCCGTGGGGCGCCGCCGGCCCTTCCCCGGGGCGCCGCGGAGGCGCTGGTGGCGGCGGCAGCAGCAGCAGCAGCGGCAGCGGCAGCGCTGGTGGCCGGGCCGCGGCGGCGGCGGCGGCGAGGGCGCGGGGCGGGCCGCCATGGGCCTGGCCGGGCTGCAGGTGGGTGTGTCGGGCCCTGCCGCGCGGGGGGCGGGCGGCGCGGGCCCGGCCGGGCCGGGCGGCGGGAGGGCGACTCGGGCCCCGGCCTGGCTTGACCGGCCGGCCCCTGCCTCCCGGTGGTGCGGGCGGCCCATCGCCGCCGGGCCCTCGGAACATGGCTGCGGCGGGAGGCGCCGTCTCGGCGCCTGGCCCGGGCGGCCCCGCTCCCCGCCCCGCCGCGCCCTGAGCGCCCCCTCCCCCGCTTCCCCCGGGTCACCCTCTCCAGGCAGGAAGATGTCCAAGCCCCGCGCGGTGGAGGCGGCGGCGGCGGCAGCGGCGGTGGCGGTGGCAGCGACGGCCCCGGGCCCGGAGATGGTGGAGCGGAGGGGCCCGGGGAGGCCCCGCACCAACGGGGTAAGCAGGCACCCTCCCGCACTCACTCGGCGCACCCCGAGGGCCGGGCGCCCCCGCCGGCCCCGCGCCGCGCGCACGTGGGCTCGCCCCACAGCCCCCGCCCGCCGCCCTGGGGCTGGGATGCGGGCGGGACGCCCAGCCGGGCAGCTTCCTTTTCTGTTGCCTGCCTGGGAGTGGCGTCCACACTTGCTCCGCCATGACCCTGGCAGTATTTGACCTCGGAAAAGTTTGTGTCTTTATTGGCATTTCCACGCCCAAGTCCAGCTACCACGGAGGTGGCTGCCATCCCAGGGTGTGGGGGGCCTGCCTGGGTCCCTCAGAGAGCATCACAGGTCTCCCTGACTTGGTGTTTAATGGCTCACCAGGCAGAAAGGCCCAGCAGTATTTCTGGAAGCCCTCCTCCTGTCTGTGCTTACTCACTGGAGAGGCCCCACCCCCAGACACACCAGCAGTGGCCTGAACTGCCCTACCAGTCTGCCCACCCTCTGGTTAATGCCAAGATGCCATTTGTAATAGAGTGACTGCCCTAAATTTGCCTGCTCTCCTCCCTGCTTTCATAAGCTCTCCACTCCTCACCCACCCACGGTTACCCTAGAGAATCTCCCTACCGCAGTCCACTCTGAGGTCCTGGGAGGCCGCTGGGCTGCATTCATTTGAGAGGGGCCAGGCCTGGGCACACAGTAGGCTCTGGCAGTAGTGACAAGTCCTACCAGCTGACCTCAGGACCAAGCAGTGGTTAATCAGGTTCCCTGAGGCCTGTTTCTGTGCTAGAGTCCCTGCAGCTCCTGCCCTGGAGTTAGCCCCTACCCACAGGCCAGCCCTTCAAAGTCCACCTTTGTTTGCTCCAGGTCATTCCGACCTCCCTGCTATTGGTAGGTTGTCTCCTTCTTATATAGATCTTTGTGTGCAGCTAGTTCTCCCGCTGCCCAATGTCCCCTTAGTGATCAGAATTGGAGACCACGCGTGTTCAGGAAACATCCCGCTTGGACCTGGGAGATTCGAAACCTTGCACTGCTCTACCTGGGCTGGTGTCCCTGGCAGTGCTGCCTGGAGAGCCGATGATGTTGGGTTCTTTGTCTTTTGTATCCTACTTGTCCCCTCTCTGCTAAATGCCATGGGCTCTGCTTCTTAAAGCCTCTCAGAATGTACATTTGTCGTTCTAGGAGAACGTGTTTACCGGGCAGTCAAAGATCTATACCTACATGAGCCCGAACAAATGCTCTGGAATCCGTTCCCCCCTTCAGGAAGAGAACTCAGTCACACACCACGAAGTCAAATGCCAGGGGAAGCCATTAGCTGGGATCTACAGGAAACGGGAAGGTAAGCCTCTGCAGTGGCCCTGCTCTGACCACAGCTGGTCGGGCTGCACAAGCCTCTCTCCTCCATAATTATACCCTGTATGAAGGTTTTATCCAGCCTTTTCACACCCCAGCTCTGAAGGAACCGTGTTCTATCTTCTGCTAAGTAACAGGTTCGGGAAAGAGCAGTCCATCCCAGGGCGTCTGCCCTGTTGGTCTGACCGGTTCTCCTGCTTTTACGTAGTTGGCATATGCCCTTCAAGCTGACTGTCTTACCAAATTGCAAAAATAATGCACCTGATTTGCACTTAAAGGGGCTCACCGATGCCAGAAACGCAGAAATTGTGAATCTGGTTTGTACAGACCAGGTGCTCGCAGTCCTGACTGTTGTGTGAACGCCAGGACCAGACTTCCTTCCCTTTTATGAGCTGGCCTTGACCTCATTTCTAAAGTTTCTTTCCACTCAAGTGTTCAGAGCTACTCTCTGAGGCAGCATACACTCCAATGAGTTAAAATATTGAGCAAGAAAAGTATACGCTTATTGAAAATTTGGTCTGGCCCTGCAAAACAAGCGGAAACCTTGTGGAGGTCCTGCCGTAACCCAAATCGTCCCTCTCCACGCGACACTGGGGAGCGTGAGCTCTTCCTCACTCACCGAGCCCCCTTCTAATAAAAGTTACCCAAGAGAAGCAGAACTCTGGCCACCAGCAGCTCCATACAAGGAAGCCTTGTATTCATTAACAGAATGTGCCCTAAGTGATGGGTTAGTCCAGCCTCTGGGGCCAGAGCTGAGGGGCAGGAAGACTGGAATCGGGGGCAGGAGCCAGCCCAGGCTTGGTTGCCCCAGTGCACAGGGCCATTCTGTTTTGTTAGTCTTCAAACTACCTAGATTCTTTTTTTTTTTTTATTCTCACCTGCATTTATCTTCAGATAGAGGGGGAGGACAAGAGAGAGAGAAACATCGATGTGAAAGAGACACATTGACTGGCTGCCACCCACAAGACCCCAGCCGGGCTGGGGACAAACATGCCCTTAGTGGGAACCAAACCTGGGACTCTCTGGTTTTCGGGGCGACGCTCTAACTGCTGAGCCAAACTGGCCAGAGCAAACAACCTAGCTTCTAACCTTCACTCTGCACCCATGCAGGGACTGGGGGAGGGGCTCTCTCTAAATGTGGTCAGCCTGTCTCACATCCTTTTTGCAATGGGGCAGGATGTAAAAGGTCCTCTGTGTTGACAAGGTGCACAAGCAAGCTTGTTTCGCTCATAGTGTTAGTAAATGACAACGATTAGAATTTTGGGCCAGATGGACTTTGGAGGAGACCCCAAGAGCCAGGCTCTTATTCTTGATTCTCAACCTTTTGTCTGCTGTGATGTGACCTGACGTTCACGGACACCACACACTCCTAGGGTTGCGCAGAACGTCCTGGCTTTAACCCCCTCTGGTTCCACTCAAGAAGGCGTGTAAGGGAGCGAGAATGGTCTGGAGGTGTTTGGATATGTTTATTTATTTTTAACCATGCCCCCCCCCCGAAAAGAAACCCAGTATTAGTGGTCACCTCTTATTCCTCTCCCACTTCAGCCCCAGGCAACGGCTAGTCTACTTTTATGTTGTTGATTTTCACCCAAGAATTTTTTCCATTTATTTTTTTAGTGAAGTGGGGAGAGAGGGAGGGAGAGAAACATCAATGGGAGAGAGACACTTCAATTGGTCTACCCCCTACCTGCACCCCAAAACAACTCTGACTGGGGCTCGGGACAGAACTTGTAACCCAGGCACATGCCCTCCACCTGAGACCAAACCCTTGACCCTTTGGTCTGGGGGCCCCTGCTCTAACTGCTGATCCAAACCAGCCAGGGCTGCCTGTTCACTTTTTTCTCCATGGATTTGCCTATTCAGACATTTCCTGCAAGTGGAATTATAGAACACATGGCCTTTGTGCCTGGGCCGTGCCACTCAGCATCAGGTTTTCCAGATGCATCCATGCTGCCGCAGGGGTCCAGGCTTTATTCTTTTCTGTGACTAAATAATGTTCCATCTTGTGGGCAGACCACATTTTATTTACCCATTCATCGGCTGGTGAACATTTGGGTGGTTTCTTGTTTTTTTTTTTTATCCTCACCCGAGGACATTTTTTGCATTTATCTGTAGATAGAGCAGGAGGAAGACAGGGAGGAAGAGAGAAAGAGAGAAACATCGATATGAGAGAGACACAGACTGGTCGCCACTCACACAACCCCAACCGGGGCCGGGGACAAACTGCAACCAAGGTCCATGCCCTTAGCGGGAACCAACCCTGGACTCTCCATTCCACAGGCCGACGCTCTAACCTCACCGCTGAGCCAAACCGGCCAGGGTGAGACACATGTTTCTAATTGTCCTGGTAGACGCCTAGGAGTAGAATTGCTGGGTCATATGGTAACTATGTTTAACTTTCTGAGGTGCCAGACTCTTTTTCAGAGTGACTGTACATTTTCACATTCTTACCAGCCACGTATTATTTACTTATTTTTAAAAAGTAAATCATGTCTTTATTTTTACTTGTTTATTTATTTATTCATTTATTTTTTTCTATCCTCACCCAAGGACTTTTTTGTTGTTGTTGTTCAGATAGAGTGGGAGGGAGAGCGAGAGAAACATCGACGTGAAAGGGACACATCGAGTGGCTGCCACCCACATGACCCAACCTGGGCTGGGGACAAACTGCAGCCAAGGCACGTGCTCTTAGCGGGAACCGAACCCAGGTCTCTCTGGTCCGTGGGCTGACACTCTAACCGCTGAGCCCAACGGGCCAGGGCCATTGGCTGATTGTTGTATGTGCTGTGACCAGGGACTGAACCTGCAACCTTGCGTACAGAGATGCCGCTCACCAATGGGGCTGCCCGGCCAGGGCAGTCAGTCATGTCTCAGTAAGGCTGGGGAAAGTGCAGAAGGCCAAAAATGTGCCCAGTGTGTGGGTCAAAAAATAGAGAAGGCAGGTGACTCTCCCCGGTAGCCGTCATTAGTGGACACTGGGCTTAGGCGAGGGCACTGCTGCCCCCTGCCCTTTGACCCTGGCTTCTCTCAAAGCCTGTGTTAGGAGGCAGCTGACGTCTAGAAACTGGGAGACAGTGTCTCCAAGAAACCTCTCCCTCCGCCCTCTGCCTTAGAGAAAAGAAACACTGGGAACGCAATACGAAGCACCACGAAGGCCGAGGAACTGAAGGTCAAAGACGCCAGGAGAGGTCCCCTGGCCCCTTTTCCAAACCAAAAATCTGAAGCAGCAGAAACTCCAAAAACTCCAACCTCGTCTTGTGAGCCCCCCAGCGCAGCCACCGCCAAGCAAGCCCCAAAAAAGCCCATCAAGGGGAAGCAGGCGCCTCGGAAAAAGTAAGTGCCTCCTGGAGCCCCCCAGTTCCGGGCAGTTTGGTTTCTCTGGCCCTGGCCGAGCTCCCTGGGGTTAAGCAGGTCACCCTCCCAGCCTCTCCCACACTGAGGCGCACATGGCTCGAGTCCCTCCAGGGACACTATTGTTGGCCAGCATTGAGGTCTGGCAAGTGTCCAGGCTCAGGAGCCTTCCCTCCCCACTGAGGGGCGTCCTGCCTCTGGCTCTCACGTGTGAGCCTGGGTGAGCCCAGGCTGCAGTGGACACAGGTGTGCAAGTGCCATCACGTCCAGGGAGCCGCCGCGCAGGGTGGCGTGCGAGTGTGTTTTTCTCTTCCTGCCCCTGCAGGTCTCAAGGAAAGACGCAGCAGAACCGCAAGCTCACGGACTTCTACCCGGTGCGCAGGAGCTCCCGGAAGAGCAAGGCCGAGCTGCAGGTGCACCCGGGTCTTCGTGCTAGCTCTCGGGGGCGGGCAGCTCGTGGGAGGGCTCGCGTGCGGACCTGAGCCTGCTCTGTCCTCCTGGGGCGAGTCTGGGACCCGTGGCCTCGGCCTTGGGGGATCGCCTCCGCTCAGGGTCACCTGCGGCTCGGTGATGATGCCTCTGGGCATGAGAGGCGAGGCAGGTGCTCTGACAGCTGCGCTCCCAGGACTGGTGGGAAGGGCAGTGGAGCCGGGCCATGGGGGAGGCCCGTGTTCTTTCACACGCTGGTCTCTGCTGTCCAGAGGCCCCATGTTGAGTCCCGAGGTGTTAAAAAGCAGTGGTTGTGTCACCTCAGGAACTTACCTACCCTGTGCCTCAGTTGCCCTGTCTGTAAAATGGGGTAACGCAGCGTCTCGTGGGGTTGCTGGGGGGAGTAAACACTGATGCACATGGAACACAGAACCAGGCCTGGCGCACAGTGAGCACGGTTCCCTGGCGTTGTCACTTCCCCGGGCTCTGTGCCGCCCAGCCCCGGCCCGACACGTGTGAAACCAGGCAGGAAGGCCAGCTGGCCTGGCCGCCCCCCGCCGTGCTTGCAGATGCCGGGCTCTGCAGTGCTCAGTCAATATCTGACGCAGTGGGTGTGGGCACTGCTTTCTGCAAGGAAAGCCTGGGCGTGGTCTGGCCCTGCAGCCCTGGCTGCTCACCTCCCCCCTCCCCCGGGCGCGTGGGCCGTGTTCAGGATGGCCGCCTCACGGGGAGGTGGGGGCCCGGCTGCAGTCGTCCCCTTCAGCGTTTTCTGTGTTTCATTTCTGGGTACAGATAGGGTCATCTAGTATTCTCTCTGTTTTTTAATTGATGAGGCTTCATTTAAAGAAAAATAAGGGGTCCATCCCCCTTCCCCCAGAGAAGCTTTGGCTTTCTTTTCTTGGAAGGGCAGTGTCTCCTGGCCAGAAGGAGCTGTTGGGGAGCGTTTGCCTGCAGTGGGAGGCTGAGCTGGGTCACTAGAAGACAGCACTGCAGAGGGCGAGGCGGTGCCAGGCCCTGGGACGTGGCCGGCTGCAGAGTGCCCACACGGAGGCCCTCGGGCTGCAGGGCGGGGCAGCCGAGCTGGCCTTGTTAATAAAAGAAACAGGCTCGTCACTGTGGGGCCAGGAGGCTGCAGCAGGACGTGGTGCAGGTCTGAGCCTCGCAGCCGACGAGCGGAAGGGAGCTGACACTGGCCTCCCTGCAGCGTGGGCCACAGCACAGTCAGGTCCTCTGTCACAGGACGGAGAGCCACTGGGTCCCTTACGTCTGCGTTGGTGCCGCTGAGCGAACACCAGGGCCAGGTGGTGGCTGGCCAGGCAGTGGGCCAGGTGGTGTCCTGACCTGCCTGCCCTTCTGGGCAGCAACAGCAGGGCCCAGGCGGCTAAGCCATAAGAGGGGTGTGGGGAGCCAGGGCTGAAACTGGGATTCAGAGCCTGGCAGCCACGTCGTTGAGTTTGAAGACAGAGTGGGCAGGGCTGGGTCCAGGGTCCAGGGTCCAGGGTCCAGGGCAGGAGGGTGGAACTCAGCCTTGGAGAGATGCCCCAAACCACTCGTTAACTGTTGCGGAGGTTCTTAGCTGGTTGGCTTGGTTACGGGTGGGGTGACAGCCAGCACCGGGGCAGGGACTGTGCTGAGTGGCAATGCCCAGGCTTCATGCCCAGTTCAGCCCTGGGCCTGCCATGCACAGCAGCCTGCTGACTCCAGCTCAGGGATGTCTTAACTTCTGTCCCCTCCCGTTCAGTCTGCCTCTGGAACCCTGTGGGTCCCAGAAGCCTGGAGCTGGTTGTTTGCCCCAAACCACTGAGCCTCTGGAATGAAACTCGATCTCTGGCTCTGCGTCCGGGGCATTGAGCAGCCCCAGTTCTCCGCTCCTCCCTCGGTGCCATGTCTGCCCACGGCAGGAGCCCCGCCGCCTGCCCCGGCTTCCCTGCGAGTACTCCCACCGATTGGGCCCACGGGGCCGCGTGCTTGTCATTAACTAACGAGCCCGCAGGGTGCTCGTGTGTACGTGTGTGTCAGGGTGCTCATGTGTACGTGTGTGTTGTTGCTTTGAGGGCTCACTCGTGTGCCAGGCACTGTTCTAGGCCAGGAGACTCCACAGTAAACAAGACCAGGTGCCTGTACTAACAGAGCTTATAAAAAGATAACGAAAAAGGAAGATAATTTCAGATGGCACTTGGACATTGATGAAACAGCAGCTCGATGGTGCGGCTGGGCTAAGACTGCTCTGGCCACGGCGGTCAGGGAGATCTCCCTGAGGAAGTGCCTTTGGAGCAGACTCTGGAAGGGGGGGCGGAAGCAAGCCAGGCAAATGGGCTGGGGAACGGGTACTCCGGGGGGGCAGCACGTGCAAAGGCCCTGAGGCAGGAGCAAGCCTGCCCATCTGAAATAGCCAGCCTCTGTGGCCAGGGGCGGAGCAAGGGTGAGGGTGGCCAATGAGGCTCGAGGGGCCGCGCCTGGATCCATCGGAAAATGGATCTGATCCCGGGAACAGTGGGAAGCTGCTGAAAGGCTGCTGCTTTTCTTTAAGTAAACTCTTGTTTTGGGATGATTTTAGGTTTGTAGAGGAGTTGCACAGACAATACAGAGTGTCCCTATAAACCCCTTCCTCAGTGTCCCCCACCGTTAACACCCTACGGCGCCCTGGTTAGTGGGTCACACTGGAACATTGCTGTTGGGGCCTTGCTGCGGGGGGGGGGGGGCCAGAGAGTCCGAGACACAGTTTGTTCTTGTGTTGTTACTGTATTGTTTTCCATGAGAACAGCTGTAGGAGCTGCTTTTGCCCCACACTGCATTGTAATTGTAATTGTCACTATGTAAAACACTCACCAGAGCCCTGGCCGGTGTGGCTCAGCGGTTAGAGTGGCAGCTGCGGACCAGAGAGTTCCGGGTTCGGTTCCCGCTAAGGGCACGTACCTCGGTTGCAGTTTGTCCCCGGCCCCAGTTGGGGTCGTGTGGGTGGCAACCACTCGATGTGTCTCTCTCACATCGATGTTTCTCTCTCTCTCTTCCTGCCTCTCCCTCCCGCTCTATCTGAGGATACATGCAGAAATGTCCTCAAGCGAGGATTAAAAAAATAAAACACTCACTAGAGGGCTTTGAGCAGGAACACAGGTGATCTCACTGAAACTCCTGAACGATCCTGTGGGTGTGCGTGCGGAGGGACAGGCCATCGGAGGCCAGGAGGCCAGCGCTGGGCTTCCACGGTGTCCGGTGCGAGCTGGCACAGCCTGGCTGCAAAGCAGCGGTAGAAATGGAGAGGAGCTGGGTTTGGGACTGTCCTGTGTGTGGGGGGGGATCTTCTGCAGCATCCCGAACCCCCTCCTGAGGTTGTAGAAACCTGGTCTTGTTCACCACTGTGTCCCTAGCACGTACCACAGACGTTCGGTAAATCTATGTGGACTGAGTGACTAGAAAGGTCCCAGGTGGCCCTGGCCAATAGCCAAGTGGTTAGAGCATCGGCCCACGGACCAGAGAGTCCTGGCTTCAGTTCCCACTAAGGGCACGTACCTTGGTTGCGGTTTGTCCCCAGCCCTGGTTGGGGTCCTGTGGGTGGCAACCAGTCGATGTGTCTCTCTCACATTGATGTTTCTCCCTCTTTCTTCCTCCCTCTCTCCCTCTCGCTCTATCTGAAGATAAATGCAAAAAGTGCCCTGGGGTGAGGATAAAACAAACAAACAAAAGGTCCCATGTGGGCTGCAGGCAGGTTCCACTGGCTGAGGCATTGTCCTGGGTGGGGCCCCGTGTGCTGGGAGGGGCTGGGCTCAGCTGTGGGCGGTGACTCTGCTGTTCACGCAGCTCCCCATATGCTGTCCAGCGTGGCTGGGCTCCAGGTCTGCCTTTGTACAGCCCCCTTCAGCTCCCTGTGCAACGAGAGCGGTGGGCCAAGTTGGGGTGGAGGTAGTCCAGGGGGGCAGCCCCGGGACGGGGAGCCCGAGAGCACCCACTCCTCTCCAGGGTGGGGACTCCTTGGGGCAGGAGGCCAGCTTCTCAGTCCTGCCCCGTCCATGCCTCCCATCAGCCCTAGCTGATTTTGCATCGAGTCAGAGTCCTGATTCTAAATGTTAGCGACTTACCTATTTTTCTAGCCTGCCCGTGTGGCTCAGTGGAATGAGCGTCATCCCTTGGACTGAGAGGTCCTGGTCGATTCCCAGTCAGGGCACATGCCGGGTTCGCTTGATCCCCAGTAGGGGGCGTGCAGGAGGCTGCTGATCGATGTTTCTCTCTCATGTCAGTGTTTTTATCTTTCTCCCTTTCCCTTTCTCTCTCTAAAAAAGAAAAAAAAAAATCACTAAAAACGTATTTAAAATTTTTTTTCTTTAAGTAGAACACAGCAGGGACCACACAGAACAGAGCCACAGCCTGATTCCGCTCTGGGCGACCTCTGTGTCCTCCTCTTTCTCCTCCTGGGCGACCTCCTGGTCCATGGGACCCAGATGGCAAATTATCCACCACACATGGGCGATGAGAAAAGGATGGGGGTGTCGAGGGGCTTGGGCACCCTTGGGGACCAATGTCGTGGAGGCCAGCTGTGGGTGACCATGTGGCCCGGCGGGTCCAGGACAGCCTGGGAGAGGGGCTGATGTGTTTCTTGTGTTTTCTTCCCAGTCTGAAGAAAGGAAGAGATTAGACGAATTGATCGAAAGTGGGAAGGAAGAAGGAATGAAGGTAAGGGCGGCAGGGCCCCCGTGCGGGGCAAAACGCTTCAAGTCAGAGCACCACGGTGTTGCTTCAACCCCTTGGTGGCCACTAACCAGGCAGATGGTTAGGTTGTCGCGGAGCCAAAGGCCAAAGCCACTGTTAGGGGTATTTCTCACGCGGAAGCGTAAGTGGACTCAGCACGCGAAATGCCATCCCACAGAAGCGTGTCTTCAGTGGTGCAAAATACATACAATGTACAGCCGAGGATTTCAGCCATTTCAGAGTGTAGTGAAGTGGCGTGGAGCACGCTCACACCAGAACCTTGTGTCCGCCCGCACAGAAACCCAGCCCCTTTAGCAGGCGCTCCCCGGCCCTGGCACCCCCAGCCCACTGTCTGTCTGTCTGGATTTGCCTGTCTGGACAGTTCACACAGACGGGATTGTGGCACAGGCAGCTGTTCTATCTGGCTTCTTGCATGTAGCATGAATGACGCCTAGGAACACTTTTAAAAGGAGAGACGAATAAATGTTCCCGAAACTCTGTTTTCCTGGGAAATGGCAATGCCCCAGAAATTTGCATTTCTCTTGGTAAATTTCGAACACGTTTGGGTGGATGAGAGGGGAGGACTCTGGGGGCTGGGCGGGTCTGGGCTGGGACTCGGGGCCGAAAGCTTTGGTTTCCCCGCCATCTGGGGAGATCAGAAGTAAGTGCGGTCCCCCGAAGCAGCCGCCTGCCCCTGCGTTGATCACAGAGTACGGAGAAACGGGGGGAGGCCAAGTTAGGGCATGAGGGAGAGACCCAGGACGCGGGGTCCTGCTGTGCCCCGAACAGGCCAGCTGCGTGGATTGGAGTCCATGCTGCACTGTTTCTTAGCCATGTGGCCTTGGGCATGGCTCTGCCTCTCTGAGCCTCAGCTCACCTGCAAAATGGGGGGCACCCACCTAGTAGATTCCCCATGAGGAGTAACGTGACAGTGCTTTGCACGTGGGCACACGGGAACGTTTTGGGGTGATGATTCATGGCGATAGTTGTGTACCTGTGACAGTTAATACATGTCAGACCGTACATGTAAAGCAAATGAATTCTAGGGCATACCTCAAGAAAACTGTTCAAAGGAGCGGTGCAATCCCCAGGCACCCCGAGCCGGCCGCGCACCGCGGCGTCTGGCTGGCTGAGCTAACCCTCATCCCCTCCCAACAGATTGACCTCATTGACGGCAAAGGCAGGGGCGTGATCGCCACCAAGCAGTTCTCCCGGGGCGAGTTCGTGGTGGAGTACCACGGGGACCTCATCGAGATCACCGACGCCAGGAAGCGGGAGGCTCTGTACGCACAGGACCCCTCCACCGGCTGCTACATGTACTATTTCCAGTATTTGAGCAAAACCTACTGGTGAGTCCACATGTGCTGCGGGCCGCAGAGAGGGTGGGCCACGGGGCCACGGCCACGAGCACCTGATTCTGTAGCTCTGGCTTCCTGATGAGTCTTGCTGCCTTTTCTCAAAGCTGGGTAGCCGCCCTCCCCGTCCCCTTCCCAGTTCTCATCTTTGGGATTGGAGCAGTTCTGGGTGAGGACGTGGACTAGGCACCGTGGGTGGTCACGTGACCGCTGTTCCCAGGCTCACCTGGCCTCCCCCCCAGGGCAGCTCTGCAAATTGCTGGCTGCTCCATTCTGCGTATGGCCAGGGTAGTGGTTTGTTTGTTTTTTAATAGACTGATTTTTAGAGCAGGGTTAGGTTCCCAGCAACGTTGAGAGGAAAGTACAGAGAGTCCCCACACTCCCTGCCCCACGCGCACAGCCTCCCCCACAGCCTCCCCCGCGGGCCCAGCTCACTTGTATCCGTTTCCGTGTCATGCAGAACTCAGCAGTTGCTCACAGGCCTCCACAAAGCGCCCTTTGCGTCCCCGTCTCCTCCCACCCCTGCTTCCGACACCCCACTCAGTGCCTCGCTCGGCTCTCGAAGATCCTTTGTGGAGTTGAGACGCTTTCCCCCAAACGAGGCTGTACGCTGACATCCCACCAGAGCTGAGAGCACGTATGGCTCTGGCTGGGCTCAGAAGCCTCTTTATCGACCGCATTAACCCCTGTTGCCCTCCCTCCCCACCAGCGTGGATGCCACCAGAGAGACAAATCGCCTGGGGAGACTGATCAATCACAGCAAATGTGGGAACTGCCAAACCAAACTGCACGACATCGACGGCGTGCCTCACCTCATCCTCATCGCCTCCCGAGACATCGAGGCCGGGGAGGAGCTCCTGTACGACTACGGGGACCGCAGCAGGGCTTCCATCGAGGCCTACCCCTGGCTGAAGCATTAACCGTCCGCCCCCGCCCCTCTTCGATGGACAAAGTGCCCTCAAAGGGAATTGATTTTTTTTTTTTTACACACTTAATCTTAGCAGAGTGCTTCAGATGTTTTTAAAAAGTATATTAAGATGCCTTTTCACTGTAGTATTTAAATATCTGTTACAGGTTTCCAAGGTGGACTTGAACAGATGGCCTTATATTACCAAAACTTTTATATTCCAGTTGTTTTTGTACCTTTTTTGCATACACGTTGAACGTCCGTGCTTCCCGTGCATGCGGTCGGAGACTCGGCACGGGTCTCGGAGGAGAGCGAACCGGAACCAGGAAGCTGGGTGCCGTCCCGCCTCCAGCTGCAGAACCAGGCCTTCCCCCGCACGCACCCCGCCGGCCGCCCAGCCCTCGAGCGAGCGAGCGAGCGCAGGCGGCCAGGAAGGCGCCGCCTCCCCCCGGCCTGGGCGGGAGGCTCCCAAGCTCTTGTTTTCCTGGCGTCTCGACAGGCGCACTTGGAGGTGTATGAGTATTTTTTAAAGGGTTTCGCAGTAAGTTAGTCTTCCCCTCTGCTTTCTCAAAAGCTTGCTGGCCCGGTGGCCCGTGGGCACGGGCCGGGCCTGGGTTTGCTCTTCCACGGGCCGCCGCTTCCGGCACTCGGAGCATCAGGGCGGGCAGTCAGAGTAGGTGTGGGCAGGGAAAGCATTGCTTAGCCTGGCCCGGCGGGGCGGGGCTTCCCGACACGGGGTGATTCTTTATAGAAATGTGAACACTGAATTTATTTTAAAAAAAATAATTAAAAAAAAAAAAAAGAAAGAAAAAAAACCACAGAAAACAACTTACATGTATATAGGTCTTAAAGTGAGTGGAGTGGCTGAGTTTTTTTTCCTTTTTCTTTTACCTTTTTTTTTTTTTTTTTGGTTTGTTTGTTTTTATAGAAGAGATTTGAGATGGTACTCTATTCTAATCAAAAATAAAGTTTTGTAGCGGGACCAGAAATTACTTATCCACCCCCCCTCACCCCACCCCCACCTGACTCTGCTGGGTCGAAGGTTCCGGAGCCACTGCCAGGCTGTCTGTTAGCGCACCTGGGTCCTTCCTGCAGATGCAGAGCCCCAGGTGAGCCCTGACGTGCAGGCCCCACCCCGGGAGCGGGCAGGTTTAGTACCCAGGGATCAGGCTAAGGTCAGGTTTTCACCTGGACTGTGATGGCGGGAGGAGGAGGTAGCTTCCTCCTTCCTCCCGAAGGGAGACCAAGTCTCACTCTGTCAACCGGAGGTCCAGGGGCCTGGGCTCTGGAGCCATGACCTGGCGCCTCCTGGCCATCCTGGTCCCAGGTAAATGTGAATGGAGACAGGTGTGAGAGCCTGTCCTCAACCCTGATGCCCCCCACCCCACCCCAGCCTCACGACGGTGCTACCTAGGAAAGTCTTCCCCCCCACCCCACACTTGCCTGGTCAGTGGTCAGCCAATTGGAGGAGGATCCGACGGAGCGTGTCAATGTGAAATACAATGTCTTGGTTGTACCTGTTTGTGGTTTAGCTTTGTATTTAAAGAAAAAAGGAAATAAACTTGAAAATTATTTGTCATCATAAAAATGAAACAAAAATTAAAATATTTATTGCCAGGCGAGGTCACCTGTGTTTTTTTACGAGGTTGGGGGGAGAAAAGAGCGGGGTTGGGTTTCTGTGTCCTTCACAGAAGGGTCACACCCCAGTCTGAGTCTTCTGCTTTGGGCCATGTGCCCCTACACCAGTTCCGTGGTTTGTATAAGGGTTCGGGGTGTTTGTGAAGATGGAAACGTGTGCTGAACCCTTAGTCACGATACCTAGCACACAGCAAGCACACGTTGGAGCTGTGACTGGCTTGTTTCCGATGTCCTGGACTTGATTTCCGGGAGGCATCTGAGTCACCAGGCGCACCTGACCTGTGCTGGAAGTCCCTCCCGCCAGCCAAGGTCTCCATCCCCATCACACGCCCCACCATCTGCCGTGACAGGTTGTCCCTTAGCCCCCGGCACTGGAGGACAATCTGGACTGTGGGCGGCATCCTCGGTTTACAGGCAAAACATCTGGTTTCAGCACTGTCTTTGAGGTTATTGGCCGGGTCACCTTAGACATCACCTGCCGAGACTTGTCTGAGTGGGAACCGCCTCTGCCTGCCTGCAGCATCACGAGGAGCCCGCAGCCATGTGTGGTTACATCCTCACCTTGGAGCTCAGCTGCCGGAGGCGGGGCTCGGGGACCTAGGGCTGGTGCTGTGGATGGACCTGCTATGTGGTCCTGCAAAGGCGGCCGCCCCTCCTCCATCTCTTCTGTGCTCTTGCTGTCCCTTGGTCTGGTCCACATGGTTCTGCTGTCAGGACATGAATCTGTTTCCCACGTTGGCCCTCACCCCTGAGGTGTAGGAACCAGCCCCTCGAAGGGGGCACCCAGCCAGGGTTGCCGTGCTCCCTGGAGTTAGGAAGGGGGCCGTGGCCCAGGACAGCTGAGATGGCGTTCTCAACCAGACTCTTCCACCGCTGCTGGGGAGACTGCTGGGTCAGGCCCTGCTCCTCCACGGTCCAGCTGGGACCCACAAGTCCCTGGGCCCCCCGCGCTGTGACCTTGGCGTGCTACTGGAATAGCAGTACTCAGCCCGTAGGGGTTTGATGAGAGACCATGCGTGTGAGGTTCTCACGATGGTGCGGGCAAGGCATGCCAGGAGTCGTGTTCACTGATGTTAGCACCTTCTGGAGACCTGGGCGTACACAGCTTCACGGGTAAGAACCAGGCCTTAGAATCAGGCTTCCCAGGCGGCCACCTCCTAGCTCTGTCACCTCCTGGATTCTACCTTAGCTTTGGGGCCTCAGTTTCCAATTCTGAGAACGGGGATTACCACCAGTCCCTGTCGCCCAGTCATTGCAGAACAAATGAGGCGTCCCATGCAGCAGTGACCAGCAGTACTAAGGACACGGGCTCATGGGCTGTCCCACGGGCTCGTGTGTTTCTCTGCCAAGTGTAGGCCCCGCTGTCTACACACTGTCTGTCATCGATTCCTAAATGTGCACTTTCCACATTTAATGTCTAAATCAGAATGAGCCTTAAAATCAATAGTGTCCTGATGTTATAATTTGTAGCATTTTTTTCCTCTCATACTGACACACAAGATAATGTCACGTCACTTAGATTCAATGAAACGCATGTGCGCCAGACACACACCACCACGCGTGTGCGTACAGTTTACAGACGCGAAACCGAGACTCGGGGTGAGCACCTTACACGGGGTCGCGCAACTCTGAGGCGGCTCTGAAATACTTCAAGTAGAAAATTTGTTTTACTTTAATACAAAAATCTCATGAAGAAAGTCATGTTAGCAAAATCGGATAGTCACTAAATATCAGTGAAGTCACCGGGGTATTACAGCCTTCTCCCCTCTCCCTTTGGGCCGATGCATGGCTGCGACCGAGTGAAGAGCGGGGTCTGGGGGGGCTGCTACCCGGTGCAGAGCGGGGTCTGGGGGCTGCGACCCCGTGAAGAGCGGGGTCTGGGGGCTGCAACCCCGTGAAGAGCGGGGTCTGGGGGGGCTGCTACCCGGTGCAGAGCGAGGTCTGGGGGGGCTGCTACCCGGTAAAGAGCGGGGTCTGGGGGGGCTGCTACCCGGTGAATAGCGGGGTCTGGGGGGGCTGCTACCCGGTGAATAGCGGGGTCTGGGGGGGCTGCTACCCGGTGCAGAGCGGGGTCTGGGGGGGCTGCTACCCGGTGCAGAGCGGGGTCTGGGGGGGCTGCTACCCGGTGAAGAGTGAGGTCGGGGGCTGCTACCCGGTGCAGAGTGGGGTCAAGTGCGGGACCAGGGAAGCAGAGCGCCGAGGCCCGAGGCGGGCGGCTGATGTGGGCAGGGGGCGGCCCCGCTGCACTTTCCTCCTGCTGGCCAGGCCTTTGGGGGTGTCCGGTTCTGCAGCCGGGGAGACAATGATCAAGTGAGAGCCTCACCTCCGTCCCCGCAGCCGGCTGAGGGGAAACACGTCCAAGTGCCGCGGGCCTGCGTGGCGCTGAGCGGGTCTGCAAGTCTTCCTGGTGGGGTGTCTCCTCCAGTCTGAGAACCGCTGCCTCAGACCTACATCTGCTTCCCTGACCGGAAGGAGAACCTGGCGGAGAGAGAGAGGGGTCAGAGGGACAGACGGCGAAGCAGGGGCACAGACACGCTGCCGCGTCTAGGAGCAACTCTCACGGCCGCTGACAAACTTGCCCCGCGCCCTGGGGGACACCAGTGTGGGGGCTCTTCATCCGCCAGCTCATCTCACACTCGGAACGCCTCCCGGAGGTGAGCACACGCAATATGCCTATTTTACAGATGAGCCAACTGAGGTTCTGTGAGGTCCAGGCACAGGCCCGAGGTCACGAAGAAAGTTGCGGACCCAGCGCACATTTAATCATTGCGTTCGACAGACAGATACTCTGCCACTTCTTCCTTTTTTGTTTTCCAGTTTTAGGTGGTTTTATTGCGGAGAAAGCAATGACTTCTCAATGCTACTTACAACTGTAAAACAGATCTTTGCAGAAAAAAAGATGAACACGGAAGTCCTTGGGTAAGATGGATAAAACATACAAAGCTATCCTGAAACGTGAACACCGGATCTCCAGCGTTTCCCACTCCCCGTGCAAAGTTCTGAGAAGGACGCGATGTGTGGGGTTCACCACAAAGTACGACCTTGGTGCTGTTTCCACTCGGGAGGACGATGCCGACGAACGGGTGGGGAAGTCGGCACTGGGATCTGGCTCTTGCTTTCAGTCTCCCTGCATGCTGCTGGCCCCTCTGCGAACAGGGGCTGGCTGAGCCCTTGACTGGTGCTTGGACACTGGTGCTGGTTCTAGTGCTCAGCATCCCCCCCCAACCCTGTCTCAGGAAGTGACGTCATCCCCGCCCAGTCGCTCAAGCAGGAACCTGGGAGTTGTTCTCAAGTCCTCCCCACATCTGCTACATTTTAGTCATTGTGCCCCAAATATGTCCCTAATCCCACTTTCATCTCCTCCACTGCCACCCCCCCAGTCCACGCCACGACAGCCTCCGTCACCCCCTACAGTCCAAATGTCCCGAGTCGTAGCCAAATGTCCCCCGTCACCAGGCAGGGCCATCTTTCCTCAGCTTAAGCCCTTCCCTGGCTGCCCATCGGCAGGACAAAGACAAACATCCTTCTTAGCGGGGCCTACTTCATTCATTCATTCATTCATTCATTCATTCATTCATTCATTCGCTCAATTAGCTTGTCTAACCAGGAACTCCTGGCCTCATGCTCTTTAAACATGTGTCCATAGGCTGGCTAGTGCCCAGAACAAACATTTTACTTTTACTGTATCAGGCTCAAACTCCAATCAGGTGACCCAAAGAACCTCCCTGCAGAGGCAAAACCCCCCAGCACTTTAAGCCTTCTGGGAGCCTTCTTTACAGTGGGACACTCAGCCCATGAGAGTCCTAAGTAAACCCTAAGGATCCCCACCTGCTGCAGGTGGAGAAGCTCTTTCTCTGAGCTCAGCGACCCTTCCGTGGGGTGGAAACACGCCCACTGGCCCTGCTTTGACCCTCCTCCACAAGGCAGGCCGAGTGAGCTTCCTATGTAAACACAGTCGCGCCACTCCCCAGCTTAAAGCCCTTCGCAAGGCACTAGAATAAACCCAGAGTCCTCAGCTGGGTCCTCGGCCTCTCCAACTCCACCTCCACGCTGCTGCTCCAGCGACCCGATCTCTGTTCCAGCAGCTCCCCAGCCTCAGGCCTTCCCGCCCACTGTTCCCGTTGCAGGGAATGCTCTTCCCTCAGGTCTTCTTAAAAAATGTTCTTATTGATTTTTTAGAGAGAAGGGAGAGAGAGAGAGAAACATCTACTGGTTGCCTCCTGCGCGCCCCCTACTGGGGATCGAGCCCAAAACCCGGGCATGTGCCCTGACCTGGAATCAAATGGGGACCTCTCAGTCCATGGGCCTGACACTTAATCCACTGAACCACACCGGCCGGGCTTCCCTCAGGGCTCAGCTCGAATGTCACCTCCTCAGAGAAGCCTTCCAGGATGCCCAATTCTAATGCAGCCCTCATCAACCTTTCCCTCAGCACCCGATTGAACGGTTTTAGCGCACATGGCTCTCTGACATGGTCCTCTTAATACGTTTCCTTACCCCTTCACTCTGACTCCCCCTACTAGAAGGTAAGCACCATGCGGGCAGGGACTCCATCTAGTTCACTGCATGCCCAGCACCCAGAAAGTGCCTGGTACATAGTAGGTCCTCCATGCATATTTGTTGAAGGAGTGAATGAATCTGGTCTCAGGTGGTCTTGCCTGACAAAGCCGACTTCAGGTAGCTCTTCCGTGAAAGGCAGGTAACTCGTAACTCAGGTAGTAGATGCCTCCTCTCCCGGCCAGGTGCCCCTGAATCCATCTCCTCCCTTCTCTACCCCGCTCTGCTCCAGGAGGCCTCTGTGGGTGCTGTCAGCAAGCTCCCTGGCCTGGCTGGGCTCCGCTAATGGGAGGCAGCAGCAGAAGCTGGGAAGGTGGGGGTTTTGCTGCCCCAACTCCAGGCTCTGCCCCAGCCAGGCCTTGTTTTACTAGTTGCTGTTCCTCTTCTGAAGGCCACGCTCCTGTCTCTTCCCCCTCACAGTTCTCTCCTGGCAGCCTGTGGGTGCTCCTCCATCCCTTGACAGTTCCCCGAACTCTGCTCGCATGTCTGTAAAACGTCCCTTCTTTAAATCTTTTCAGCCCAGCCGGTGTGGCTCAGTGGTTGAGCGTGGACCCTGCACCAAGAGGTCACCAGTTCGATTCCCGGTCAGGGCACATGCCCAGGTTGTGGGCCCGATCCCCAGTGGAGGGCATGAAGGAGGCAGCCAATTGATGTTCTCTCTCATCGAGGTTTCTATCTCTCTCTCCCTTTCCCTTCCTCTCTTTCTAAATCAATAAAGAAAAAAGATATACATCAGATTTTGAGGGCTTATATATATATTTTAAATATTATATATTGATTTTAGAGAGAAAGGAAGAGGGGAGATAGAGATACTGATAACAGTATTGAGAGAAAAAGAGAGATTAACATTGATTTGTTGTAACACTTACTTATGCATTCTTTGCCTGATTCTTTTTTTTTTTTTTTATCCTTACCCGAGGACATTTTTCCTTTTTTTTTTTCCAGATAGAGTGGGAGGGAGAGAGAGAGAGAAACATGACGTGAAAGGGACACTTTGAGTGGCTGCCACCCACATAACCAACCAAGGCCAGGGACAAACTGCAACCGAGGTACAAGCCCTTGGCGGGAACCAAACCCGGGTCCCTCGGAACCGCAGGCTGAGCCAAACCGGCCAGGGCTTTGGCTGCTTCTTACATGTACCCTGACCAGGCACTGACCCCACAGCCTTGGTACTGGGGTCTTGGCCTGTCTTGAGAATCAGAAGCTCTGGCAGCATTTCATCCCTTGGCCACCCCCACCCACCCGCATCGCTTATCCACGTGTGACGTAAGGGCCTAACCCTGGAAGGCAGGCGAGTCTGAAATTCCTGAGCAAGGGTGTTTCTCAGTCTCCACTGAAACCCCAGGGGCTGGTAAACTGTCCCCAGGCCAGACATTCTCCGAGCAACCAGGCAAACAAGCTATTCGCTTGGGCTGGGGCGGAGGAAAGGCAGGCCGAGCTGCACCGACACCGGCCACTCGAGAGGCACATCTCAACGGTGGGCCAAGGGTTATCCACGGCAGGTCCTTGCGGATCCATTAAAAACCCCGGTTTCTAGGCCTCGTCCTCGAACCACTGGCGTGATTCCTGAGACCAAATTTTATTTTTATTTTTATTTTTTTATCCTCACCCGAGGACATTTTTCCATTTTTTTTTGTTCAGATAGAGTGGGAGGGAGAGAGAGGAAGGGAGAGAGAGAAACATCGATGTGAAAGGGACACATCGAGTGGCTGCCACCCGCACGACCAACCAGGGCCGGGGACAAACTGCAACCGAAGTACGTGCCCATAGCGGGAACTGAACCCGGGTCTCTCCGGACCGCAGGCCGATGCTCTAACCGCTGAGCCAAACTGGCCAGGGCCTGAGACCAAATTTTAAACGAGCATCCCACACTCTGTGGTTGGAGGCGCAGCACCTGGAGACAGGCGGGGTCAACCATGGTGCCTGGACTTGAGGGGACTATTCAAAGGACGCTGTATCACATGTCCCAACGCGGGGACACACAGGGCCCTCCAAAATTGGAGGAAAAAGAGGCAATGGATTAGCTGCTTAAACTCCAATAATTACTGTTTTTCTTCTTGCTGTAATTTTATTATTATTTTTTGGTTATAGTCAGTATATCATAGGGAGGCAGTGGAGAGTAGAATCTGGACTTCCTTGGCTTCAAATCCTGATGTCACTGTTCATTATCTGATGTGACCCTGCACACATCACTTTACCTCTCAGTAGATACCTGTAAAATGGGGGTAGGTAATAATAGTTCCTACCTCACAGGGTCACTGTAATGAGTCAATGAATGACTATGCATCAAGTGCTTAGACTACTCCCTGGTAGATCTTATAATACAGAACTGAGTTTTCTTTTTTTGTTGTTTGTTTGTTTTTATCCTCACCTGAGGACATTATTTGATATTTTGTTCAGATAGACTGGCAGGGAGAGAGAGAGAAAAAAACGTCAATGTGAAAGGGACACATCGAGTGGTCACCACCCACATGACCCAACCAGGGCCAGGGACAAACTGCAACCGAGGTACGCGCCCTTAGCAGAAACTGAACCCTGGTCTCTCCAGACCGCAGGCCAATGCTCTAACCACTGAGCCAAACCAGCCAGGGCCTTTTTTTTTTTTAACCTCACTGGAGGACATTTTTGCATTTATCTTCAGATAGAGCGGGAGGGAGAGAGGGGTGAGAGAGAGAGAAACATCAGTGTGAGAGACATCGACTGGCTGCCACCCACACGGCCCCAACTGGGGCCAAGGACAAACTGCAACCGAGGTACGTGCCCTTAGCGGGAACCGAACCTGGGACTCTGGTCCAAGGGCCAATGTTCTAACCGCTGAGCCAAACTGGCCAGGGTGGAGCTGAGTGTTCTTATCGGCCACAGCACCACCACCAGGAGAGCAGGACCTACCCTTCCAGGATAGCTGGCCAGCCTCCTCTTGCCCCCACTCAGTCTTTTAGCATTCATTCCGTGACAACAGGGGGCGCCAGGGTGACTTACAGCTTCCTTATGATTGTCTTCTCCTCCTTGTTTCTGCTGGCATTGCCGGCCTGGGCAACCAGAGTGTCCTTTTCTCTTCTTCCTCCTGGGCCTTCTCTTGCCGGAATCAGGCCACTGGACAAAAGACGACAAATAAATGGGTTGTTTTATTGCAGACCTCTTATCTGTGCAGCTCTGAAAGTGAAGAATCTTTTTTTTTTCCCTTTGGTATGTGACCCTAGCAGGAACCAAACCCAGGACTCTCTGATCTGCAGGCCGACGCTCCAACCGCTGAGCCAAACTGGCCAGGGTGAATCTTTTTTTTTTATTCCTCACCCAAGGATATTTTTCTATTTATCATCAGATAGAGTGGGAGGGAGAATGGGGGTAGAGAAACAGAGAGAAACAACGATGCAAAAAACCTACATGGACTGGTTGCCTCCCGCATGACCTGACCAGGGCCAGGAACAAACTACAAGTGAGGTATGTGCCCTTGACCAGAATAGAACCCGTGACTCTTTGATGTGAGGGCTGATGCTCTAACCGCTGAGCCAAACTAGTCAGGGCTGAAAGTGAAGAATCTTAATAATTATTATTATATTAATAATTGCAGCATCAAAATCTCTAGAATCCAAAAGATTCTGACCCAATAACAAGAATCTTCCCTCCACATTTCCAATGTTGATACCTCTTCTTTCTTTCTCTTATCTAATTGCATTGGCTAGTAGTTCAAGCTTGTCCACTTTGTAAGAATATGACCATGTATAAATTCTCTAACTTTGGCCTTGATTTCCTAGATGGTACAATGAGGATAATAAGAGTACCTACCTCCTAGGATTGAGAAATAAGTGAGATAATAATACACGGCACTCATTCATTCAACAAATATTTATTAAGTGATATACTGTGCCATTGTGCTACAGATACAACAATGAACAGATTAGAGAAAAAAATCTTCTCTCAGCCCTAGCCAGTTTGACTCAGCGGTTAGAGCATCAGCCTGCAGACCAAAGAGTCGCAGGTTCAATTCCAGCCAAGGGCACATATCTTGGTTGCGGTTAACCCTGACCCCTCTGGGGCCGTGCAGGTGGCAACCAGTCGATGTGCTCTCTCACATTGATGTTTCTCTTTTTCTCTCTCTCTCTCTCTCCCTCCCACTCTGTCTGAAGATAAATATAAAAATATCCTCAGGTGAGGATTAGGAAAAAAAAAACAAAACTTCCCTAAGTTACATTCGAGTGGGGAAGGAAGCAGTCAGTAGAAAAAAAATAAGTAAAATAAAAATATATATACTAAGTCAGATGGTGGTAACAGCCAGATTGATATTGATTGACAAGATATTGAGGTCAGGTGGCCCAAGGAGGGCCAGAGTATTTCCCTGGACTTGACGCACAGAAGTTGGAGGAAGGCTGTCGTCTCGCTGGCTCACCTGGGGCTGCAAGCAGTTCTACTTCCTAAGGTTCAGAGAACTGTCTGTGATACAAGATAGTGAGGACAGACAAAGAGAAGCTGTCTGAGGACATGTCTCCCTGTTGCCACCAATGGCCGTGGACTTCATCTTAGAATTAACATCACCTGAACTCACAGGCTTGCTGTGGACGATACATGAAATGATGCTTGGGGTACACTTGGCCCAGCGCCTGGCCCAGGGTAAATATCAGCTGGCACTGTGTTTTCATTCTCTTGTTCTTTCGTCCTTCTGCCTCTAAAGAAACCTACTTTGGCCCTGGCCACTTTCACTCAGAGGTTAGAGCATCAGCCCGCAGACCAAGGAGTTGCAGGTTTGATTCCGGTCAAGGGCACGTACCTCGGTTGCGGTTTGGTCCCCTGGTCGGGGTTGTGCGGAAGGCAACCAATCGATGTGTCTCTCTCACATTGATGTTTCTCTCTTCCTCCCTCCCTCCCTCCCTCCTCCAACTCTGTCTGAAAAATCAATGGAAAAATATCCTCGGGTGAGGATTTAAAAAAAAAAATGAAAGAAAGAAAAAGAAACCTACTATGTTTAACTCAGTGTTTCCCAGTGTTATTCAACCACAGAACCTCCCCCCCCTTCTCAAGAAAGACTGACATGAAAGACACGTTTTGGGGAACAGAGGCTCAGACGGACACAGCAGAGTGCGAACCTGATCTGTCAACAACTTCCTTATTTCCTCTTTCCCCGTCCTACAGTCCCTTCTCTTCACATATTATTGGGACTTTCATAACTTTTAACTTTTATATCATTTCAAACTTACAGAAAAGCTGTAAGATTTGTAAAAAGACTTCCCCAATGCTCTTTACCCAGACCCCCCCGTTTATCTCATTGCATCCTTCCATCCACCCACGGACGTGTCTGTCTTCTTTCTCAACCACTTGAGAGGAAGGTGGAGGCATCCGGGTCCCTCATACCGAAAGGGTTCGGCATGTATGTCCAAAGGACAAGGTATCCTCTCACGGAACCAAATAGTTCAGTTACCGAAACCACCTCATTGATTGTCTGTCATTCCCAATGATTCCTCGTCTCGCCCCACCCTGGTCCTACCGAATCTTTATGTGGTTGGCTGCTTCTTGTCATTCACCCCGAGGGATCGTCCCTGACCACCTGGTGTAAAAGAGGTCCCTCCCCCCAACTCCCTCAGCACTTCGGCCTGTCGCATCCCTGGTTTTATCTTCTTCAGGGAACTTACATCCTTATCCTGAGTGTTTATATCAGACTCCCTTGCTGCCTGCCTGTCTGCCCCCTGCACTTGCTGTGAGGGTCACTGATGCACCCCCACCGCCAGGAATTGTGGGTCTTGGAGCAAAAGGCTGAATGGACAAAGGGGAACACGGGGAGGAGCTGGGGCGCGGGGCGAGCCCACCTCTTGTAGCACTGCACCTCCTCCTGGGCCAGCAGCAGCTGCGACTTGAGTCTGTTGCGCTCCTGGAGCACGTCCCTGAGCTCCTGCAGAGTGAAGCGTGGCCGGTTGGGGTCTGTCAGGTCCACCACCATCTTGTCTGGCCCCAGGTTCACCTGGGAAAAAAGACATCACGTATGCAGTTTCCCTCAAGGGGATGGACCATCCACCCCAGAAAGGAAAGTTCTCTTGTTCTGTTACCAAAAAGGGGCCACACGAGGCGAGGCGTCGCCTGTTGGAAGTGCTTGGTCGGTGGTCAAGAAGCTAAAGTACTTTCTCCAAGAAAAACGGCCGGGCTCCTGGGGAGTGGCAGCTTCCAGGGCTGGGATGGGGAATCCAAGATGACCCTGGAACTTTTTTTTTTTAATTCCTCACCCGAGGATATTTTTCTATTTATCATCAGACAGAGTGGGAGAGAGAGAGAGACAGAGAGAAACATCGATATGATACAGCCACATCGACTGTTTGCCTCCTGCACGATCCTGCCAGGGCCGGGGATGAACCGCAATCAAACCGCTGAGCCAAACCAGCCAGGGCGACCCTGGACCATTTTGTTGTAAATGGAGACATCAAAGTGACACAGTCTGAAGGAGCTCCTAGTGGCCAAACTGAGACCAAGCTGAGTAGCAAAATGAACAGTAACAGGAATGGATAACAACACATCGAATTAAAAGAGAATTCAGGAATCCATACTTAAACTTTTAAATTAACATCCCCATTAACTAATGTGAGTGATGAATTTTAGTGGTTAACCTGACTGGGTGAAGGCACGAGCAGATGGCTGGTTAGACAGTATTTCTGGGTGTGTGTGGGAAGGTGTTTCTGGAAGAGCTGAGCATCTGAATCAGTAAACTGCGAAGCAGATGGCCCTCCCCACTGGAACTGGGCATCACCCAATCAACTAAGGGCCCAAATAGGACAAAGAGGTAGAAGAAGAGTGAATTCACTCTCTGCTTGAGCTGAGACATGCATCTTCTTCCGACCTTCAACACAGAGGCTCCTGGTTCTTGTGCTTTTTGGTCGCAGACCAGGACTTATACCTTCAGCCTCTCGATATTCAACCATCTCATCTGACGGATACAAGAGTAGAGCCTTATTTACAAATGTAATTGTCATTGTGACTAATGAGTAGGTGAACTACAAGTGTACCAGGGAAGCTACCAGAAACCTTTGCTCTTCCCTGTGAATTTCAGCGACCCTGGCCCTGTTGGGCTTTTGTGGGTCACTCCTCAGTTGGTAATCTTAAATGAGAGAGCCCACTTAGGGCAGAATTTTTTTTTTTTATCCTCACCCGAGGATATTTTTCCATTTTTTGTTCAGATAAGTGGGAGGGAGAGAGAGAAACATCAATGTGAAAGGGACACATCGAGTGGCTGCCACCCGCATGACCAACCAGGGCCGGGTACAAACTGCAACCGAGGTACGTGCCCTTAGCAGGAACCGAGACCGGGTCTCTTGGGACCGCAGGCCGACGCTCTAACCACTGAGCCAAACCGGCCAGGGCCAGAATTTTTTTTTTTAACTGTGGTGAAAGACCTACTACTGAGTATGATATTAATTTAGTGGGCTGCAACAAGAATTTAAAAACTCATAAAACAGGGAAGTATGACTGTGCATCATGATGAGTTGGGTAAGTTGTTTCTTTTTATTATTATTATTACTATTTTTAATCCTCACCCATGGATATTTATTTTTACATTAATATTCAGAGAGAGCTGGAGGGAGTGAGGGAGGGAGAGACAGAGAGAGAAACGCTGATTGGTTGCCACCCACACAATTCCAACCGGGGCCAGGGATAAACTGTAACTGAGGTACAGTCATCCCTCATTTATTGCAGTTAATCGGTTCCAAATCCTAGCAGTTGCACCTGGCGTTGAAGGATTCCTGGGGTGCTCAAATACATAGGCCTACAGTCCATACGTAATTTTAATCTAATTGTAATACATGGGTGTATAATTGACTCAGACAACCGAGCATGTGCTGTATCACTTTCACCGCCTTGATCAACTTTTTAATGAATATATTTGAAAAAACTGTGATAGAGTGAAGCTGCGAAAGTTGAAGTGCGAAGTGGTGAGGGATGACTGTACAGAATGAAACCCGGGACTCTTTGGTTGGTGGGCAATGCTCTTAACGCTGAGCCATACCAACCAGGGCGTAAATTGTTTTTATAAATGTAATTTTTGCTTGGCCAGTGTGGCTCAGTGGTTGAGCATCAACCCATGAACCAAGAGGTCGCCGGTTCGATTCTCTTTCAGGGCACATGCCCAGGTTGAAGGCCTAATCTCCAGTGTGGGGCATGCAGGAGGCAGCCAATCAATGTTTTCTCTCATCAATGTTTCTATCTCTCCCTTCCTCTCTCTCTCAAATCAATAAAGAAAAAATATTTTAAAGAATGTAATTTTGTAAACGGAGATATAATGTACATACAGTAAAATGCACTGATCTTGAGTTTGTGGCTTGATGATTTTTGTCATACATATATACCATGTAACCATAATATATTTCTCTTCTGGCCCCGTCACTGGCCCCGTCCTAGGGTTAGCACCAATCTGTCTCCTGTAAGTAAAGATCATTCTGCCTGTCCTTGAATCTCACATATGGTAGGCTCTCTTTTGTGCCTGGGCTCCTCTCGATGTAACCTCAAGTATTTGAAAAAAGCAGATAGAGTGAAGCCGCCAAAGTCGAAAAAAAAAAAACCGCGATAGAGTGAAGCAAAGAATCCTACTCCGTGGAAATTCATTTATCGTGGTAGAGTCTGGAACTGATTAACCACGATAAATGAGGGCTGACTGTATATCAGCACTCTGTTCCTTTTCATGGCTGTGTACTATTCCACTGTATGAATATACTGCAGTTTAAAAACCCAGCCATCCCTCTGGTACATTTGGGTTTTTTCCAGTTTGGCACAATTATGAATAAGGCTACTCTGAATATTCTTGCATGTCTTTTTGTGGTCATAAACACTAATTCCTTTTTATTATTTTTTTCTTTATTGATTTTTAGAGAGAGGAAGGGAGGGAGAGAGAGACATCCATGAGAGAGAACATGGATTGCCCACTTCCTGCATGCCCTTCACTGGGGATCAGGACCACAACCTGGGCATGTGTCCTGACCAGGAACCCAACCCGTGACCTCTTAGTGCATGGGTTGACGCTCAACCACTGCGCCACACCAGCCGGTGGTACCACATCCTCTTTAGCTAAATTTAACTTCTTAATCTAGGCCAAAGGTACGCACAGTGTGATGCCTGGACCGACAGCATCAGCATAACTGGGAAACTTGTTTGAGATGCATATTCTCGGGTCCCAGTCCAGACCCACTGAACCAGAAACTCTGGGGCCCGGGAGTCTTTGTTTTAAGGGACACCCAGGTGACTGGGATGCTGAAGCATGAGACCCGCTGCTCTAGGTCACGGTCAAAATGCTTGAGGCCAGGGCTTCGGAACATACTCAGCCAGGGCCCCGCACCTAGTAAGTGCTCAGTAAATGTTTACAATCGACGTGCTTGGACCTGAGGGCTGGATCCTCGCAGTGATGCGCTTTGAGGGGCCTGGGTGCTCACGCTCCAGGCAGGAAAGGGCCCTGCGAGGCGGGCGCCCCCCTCCCGCACGCACTCACCTCCGGGCCGGCCGCGGGGCCCGCTCTCCGCAGCCCCTCCACCTCCTTGCGGAGGTTGTCCCGCTCCATTCGCAGCTCCTCCGCCGCCAGGCTGCCCTCGCTCACCAGCGTCTCCAGCATCTCCAGCACGCGGACGATCCTGAACTGCAGCCGAGTCACCCGGGGGTCGCTGCCCAGGGCCATCAGCTCGCGGCCCACCACGTAGGAGATGTCGTACACGTCCTCGGCGGTCAGCTGCAGCGGGCTCTTCCTCAGCGCCCCCTCGGGCCCAGCGCCGTCCTCGTCGTCCTCGTCGTCCTCGCCCTCCTGCCCCCGCACAGGAGGCTCTTCCATGGTCTCCGGGCGCCCTGCGGCCTCGGGGGCTGCCACTTCGGAGTCTCCAAAGTCCAGCTTCCTCCGGACACAGAACTTGCCGCTGGGCAGCGGAGACCCGGCCCACGGCAGGCCCGGGCGGCCAATCAGCGCGGCCGAGCGGGGGGCGCGCGGGGCGGGGGGCCCAGGCCAGGACCGTGCAGGAGCGCCCCCAGGCTGGACTTGGGGCACGAAAGGCCGAGGGCAGGGAGGGCCCCGAGGGGAGGAACAGAGCTTGCGGGCGACGCCGATGGCTCCCGGCCCGGCCCGGGGAGGAGCGCGCCTCTGAGCTCCGCCCCGTGGCTGCAGCCAGGGACGCGGGCTTTCCAGGGAGACGGGGCGGAATTTCCAACGCCGGTGGAGGAAAGGGCCTAAAAGCACCCAACTTTTTCCTTTCCACAGTCAGGCTTTCCAGCCGTAGAATTTGCATTGCACCAGGAGGAACAGCTGGTCTCCGAGGGTATTTTCTGAACGAAACAGAAAACAGTTGGTGGTGGCTGCGCGCTGCTGGGGGTGGGAGGGGGGCAGGTTGCATGAAGCTCCAGGCCAATTGTCGCCAGGACGGGGGCCTCTGACCCTCAGGGGAACGGGGCACCCCGCGCTGTGCACTCATCTGCTTCCTGGACGCCTCCCCTTGACCAGCGTTGTGGCCACAGGAGTTACTGAACTCCTCCCAGCCTCGGTTTCCTCCCCGTGAATAACAGTCCGGAGTGGGAGGGTTGTCACTAGGAAGACACCAGATGAGCTCATGACACCATGCGTGTGACCCAAAGCACTCAGGAAGCGCTCAGAAGTGTTCGCTGGCGTTCTCCGTGCATGCCAAATACAAACATTAAGCTCCTGGCTCAGGGGTTGGGGTGGGAGCCGGTTTACAGATACATGGGGTATTACTGAGCATGTGAGCAGCGTGAATTACAAAATGAATTATTCAGGTTTGATGAGAAGTTTGGAATAGTGGGAGAATACTCCCAGGAACACACCCCAGCTTTCTCGGTAAGCCAGCAAACAATACAGGCACTACTTTCAGAGGGTACAATGTTGCAATGATCCTGGGCAAGGGCTCTGTAACCCATGAATCAGATGTTACAACACCCAGGGATTAAATATGGAGATATAATATTAGGCTTACTATAAATAAAAATGGTATAGAAACACAATGGAATATTTTTCAGCCATAAAAGCAATGAAGGAATAGAGAGCCTGGAAGTAAAACCTCACATATACAGTCAAATGGTTTTCAACAAGGGTGCCAAGACCATTCATTGGGGAAAAGACAGTCTTTTCAACAAACGGTGTTGGGGAAAAGCAGATACCCACATGCAAAAGTATAAAGTTGGATCCATACCTTACACTATACACAAGAATTAACTCAAAATGGATCAAAGACCAAAACCTAAAAAAATCAGAAGAAAACATAGGGGGAAAGCTTATGGCATTAGATTTGGTAATTTCTTCAAAAGCACAGGCAACAAAAGGAAGAAAATTGGATCACGTCAACATTTAACACTTGTCTATTAAAGAACACAGAGTGAGCCCTGGCCGGTTTGGCTTTGCAGTTAGAGCGTCGGCCTGGTGACCAGAGAGACTGGGATTCGGTTCCCACAAAGGGCACATACCTCGGTGGCAGTTTGTCCCCAGCCCCAGTTGGGGTCATGTGGGTGGCAACCAGTCGATGTGTCTCTCTCACACTGATGTTTCTCTCTCTCTCTCCCTCTCTCCTTCTCATTCTATCTCAAGATAAAAAAAAATGTCCTCGGGTGAGGATTAAAAATAAATAAAAGAATAAAATACTTAGAAATAGCCTGGCTGGTATGGCTCAGTGGATTGAGCATCATCCCATGGATGAGAGGTCCTGGTTCAATTCCTGGTCAAGGCATATGCCTGGGTTGCAGGCTCGATCCCCAGTAGGGAGTCTGCAGAAGGCAGCTGATTGATGTTTCTCTCTCACATGGATATTTCTCTCTCTCTCTCTCCCTTCCTCTCTCTAAAAAATCAATAAAAACATTTTAAAAAATACTTAGAAATAAATTTAACAAAAGAAGTATAAGACTTGTACACTGGAAACTACAAAACGTCACTGAGAAAAATGAAAGAACTAAATACATGGAAAGACACCCATGTGTCAACTGTAATACTTAGTATTGTTAAGATGACAACACTCTCACCCTGGCTGGTTTGGCTCAGCGGTTAGAGTGTTGGCCTGCGGACCAAAGGGGCAGGGGCTTGGGGTCAATTCCAGTCAAGGGCATGTACATGGGTGGCAGGTTTAATCCCCGGCCCTGGTTAGGGTGGTGTGGGAGGCAACCAGTCGATGTGTCTCTCTCACATTGATCTTTCTCTTTTCTCCCTCTCCCTTCCTTGATTAACAACAACAACAAAAAGATGGCAACACTCCATCTGACATCAACTGGTCTACAGAATCGGCACAATCCCCACCAAAAACATGCTCAGGAAAGTTAAGTAGCAGGCGGAGAGTGCTATCATTTGAAAATCCTGTCTGCAGGGTTGACCCTTGGCTAGGTTCTGGGAACTTGATTGGGGAGGGTTCCTTCTCCCCAACTAATAAGAGCAGCTACTGTGCCTTAACTGTTCGTGCTGACAGCACAGTTTATGCTGAACACGGCTTTCCTCCTGGGATTCCGGAATCTGGGTACGTGCTGGCAGAGTGTGCCTGCATGACCAGCCCACCATAAAAGCCGTCAGCACTGAGTGTCTAGTGAGCTTCCCTCATAAATGGTATTTCACACATTGTCGCAACTCTTTACTAGGAAGTCATGCTGAGTCAAAGTAGCCAGTCACAAAAGACCTCATATTGCATGACTCCGTTTCTACAAAATGTCCACAGAGACAGGAAGTATATTAGTGGTTGCCTACAACGGGGAGGGATAGGGCTGCGGTGGGGGTTGGGGTGTGATAGCCAAAGTGTATGGTGTTTCTTTCTTTCTTTTTTTTTTTGTACATGCCCCTAGCGGAAACCGAACCCGGGACTCTCAGGCCGATGCTCCAACCGCTGAGCCAAATGGGCCAGGGCGGTATGGTGTTTCTTTTGGGAGTGATAAAAACGTTCTAAAATTGGTTGTGGTGATAACTCTGAATATACAAAAAAAAATATTTGAATTGTATACTTTAAATGAGTGAATTATATGGCATGTGAAACACACACACACACACACACACTTTTCTTTTTTATTCTCACCCGAGGACATTTTTTCCATTTTTGTTCTGATAAAGTGGGAGGGAGGGAGGGAGGGAGGGAGGGAGAGAAACATCAATGAGAAAGGAACACATCGAATGGCTGCCTCCCACAAGACCCCAACCAAGGCCAGGAACAAATCACAATGAAGGTATGTGCCCTTGACCGGAATCGAACCTGCGGAATCGAATGCTGTCCGTGGGCCTACACTCTAACTGCTGAGCCACACCGGCCAGGGTGTGAAATATATTTTAATAATCTGTTATTAAAAGATATGCCCGGCTGGTGTGGCTCAGTGGTTGAGCATCGACCTGTGCACCAAGAGGTTGCTGGTTCGATTCCACGTCAGGGCACATGCCCAGGTTGTGGTCCTGATCCCCAGTGTGGGGCATGCAGGAGGCGGCCAATCGATGTTCTCTCTCATTGATGTCTCTATGTCTCTCTCTCTCTCTCTCTCTCTCCCCCTTCCTCTCTAAAATAAAGAAGAAGAAGAAAAAAGGAAGACAAAAATAACATGTATTGGCAAAGAGGTGGAAAAGTTGGAACTTGGGGGCACTGCTGGTGGGAATGTAAAATGTAGCCACTAAGGGAAACAGTATGGTGATTCCTAAAAAATTAAAAATAGAATTATATGATCCAGCAATTGCACTTGCATATGTACCAAAAGAATCGAAAACAGGGTCTGTAAGACACTGCACACCATGTTCATAGAGGCATTATTCACAACAGCCGAGGTGTGGAAAGAACCCAAACGGCCATCCACGGATGAATGGCTAAACAAGATGTGATCTGTACATATAATGGAATATTAATCAGCCTTAAAAAGGAAGGAAATGCGCCCTGGCAGGTTTGGCTCAGCGGTAGAGCGTCGGCCCGTGGACCAGTGAGTCCGGGGTTTGATTCCAACCAAGGGCATGTACCTCAGTTGCAGTTGGTTCCCAGCCCTGGTTGGGGTCATGTGGGAGGCAACCAGTTGATGTGTCCCTCTCACGTCAATGTTTCTCTCTCTGTCCCTTCCTCTCCCTCTCTCTCTACCTGAAGAGAAATAGAAAAATATCCTCGAGTAAGGATGAAAAACAAAAAAGGAAGGAAGCCCTGGCCGGCTTGGCTCAGCCTGCGGAACAGAGAGTCCTGGGTTCGGTTCCCACACCTAAACAAAAAAAGGAAGGAAATGATGGCCCCAGCCAGTTTGCTCAGTGGTTAGGGCATTGACCCTTGGGTCCAAGGGCTACGGGCTTGATTCCTGGTCAAGGGCACAAACCTGGGTTGCAGGTTCTGTCCCCAACCCCGGTCGGGGTCCTGAGGGAGGCAACCAATTGATGTGTCTCTTTCTCATTTATATTTCTCTCCCTCTTCCTCCCTCTCACTCTCCCTAAAAGTCAACAGAAAAATGTCCTAGGTGAAGATTAACAAAAAAACAACAACAAAAGGAAGGAAATTCTGACACAGGCTAGAACATTGTGCTAAGTGAGACAAATTCTGACACAGGCTAGAACATTGTGCTAAGCGAGACAAAGCGCTTACAGAAAGATACATGCTATCTGACTTCACTAGATGAGGTATCTAGACTGCAAACTCCGAGAAACAGCATGGAGAATGGTCGCCAGGGGCTGGGGAAGGGACGTGGGAAATTGTTGCTTAATGAATATAGACTTTGAGATTTGCAAGATGGAAAATTCTGAAGATATATTTAACATTACTGAACTGTGCACTTAAAAATGGTTAAGATGCCCTGGAGATAACCAATTGGTATCTCTCTCACAAGGATGTTTCTCTCTCTCTCCTCCCCTCCCTCTCTTCCACTCTATCTAAAAATCAATGGAAAAATATTCTCAGCCCTGGCCGGTTTGGCTCAGCGGTTAGAGCGTCGGCCTGCGGTACAGAGAGACCCGGGTTCGGTTCCCGCTAAGGGCACGCACCTTGGTTGTAGTTTGTCCCCGGCCCTGGTTGGTCGTGCAGTGGCAGCCACTTGATGTGTCCCTTTCACATCGATGTTTCTCTCTCTCTCTCTGTTCCTCTCTCTCCCTCCCGCTCTATCTGAACAAAAAAATGTCCTCGGGTGAGGATAAAAAAAAAAAATATTCTCAGGTGAGGATTAACAATAATAACAAAAAGGTAAAGATGTTAAATTTTACCTTATGGCCCGGTCTGTGTGGCTGAGTGGTTGACCCATGCACCAGGAGTTCGCTGGTTCGATTCCAGGTCAGGGCACATGCCCAGGTTGTGGGCCCGATCCCCAGAGGGGGGCATGCAGGAGGCAGCCAATCGATGTTCTCTCTCATCGATATTTCTCTCTCACTCTCCCTCTCCCTTTCTCTCTAAAATCAATCAATAAATTTAAAAAAATGTTTTTACCTTATGTGTACCAGACCAAAAATTTAAGGGCGCTCTGTGGAGGGCTGCAAATGTGCTATATCTTGAGCTCAGTGGAGGTCAAATGAATATACACACAGGTAAAAAGTCGTGGCACTGTACACAGTATTTGTGCATTTCCTTCAGGTGAACTGTATGTTGATAGTGTTGGTGGCAGGGAAGGAGTGAAGTGCTGACACATGCTACAATGTGGATGAACCCTGGCAACATTTTGCTCAGTGAAGAAAGCCAGTCACAAAACACCACCCATTGTATGATTCCATTGATGTGAAATGTGCAGAATAGCACATCTGTTCTGTAAAGACAGAAAGTAGATTAGTTATTGTCTAGAGCTGGGGGAGGCCGGATGGTGAGTGACTGCCAGTGGGGACAGGGTTTCTTTTTGGGGTAGTGAAAATGTTCTAGAATGAGGTTGTGGTAATGGTTGCACAACTCTGTGAATATACTAAAAACCACCAAATCGAACCCTTTCAGTGGGTTATGTTTATGATATGTGAAGTGTGTTCCAATGCTGTCACGCTGAGGTAGCCTTCCCAGAGCAATGCTGTCAGGAAGAATTTAATGTTGCCGAGTTTTTTTTTTATCCTTCAGTATCCCCAGCCACCACTGCTGGCATAAATCTCTTCAGCACCCTTGTTTCTTTTTAAAATGTTGTTAATCCTCACCTGAGGATATTTTCCCATTGATTTTTAGACTGAGCGGGAGGGAGGAAGAGAGAAAAACATCGACATGAGAGAGATACACGGATTGGCTGCCTCCCACGCGACCCCAGCTGGGACTGGGGACTGAACCTGCAACCCAGGTATGTGTCCTTAATCAGGAATCGAACCTATCCGTTGAGTAACTATGCTTTTGATATAAAAAATATTCTTTTGTTCACTCATTTAACCATTTATTTACTGAGCACCTACTGTGCAGCCTGTAGCGTCTTAGTCAACAGGGCTGTCGAGTTCAAGTCGTCTTGACTTGCACCTTACAGTTCCTACTTGCTTGTACATAAACTGGATCAAGTTCCTAAATCTCTCCAAATGCCCATTTCCTCACTGTGAACTGGGAACAATAAAAGCAGTCCCCAAAACTGGTGTAAGGATTAGACAAGGCACAGAAAGTGCTTAGTCCAGGGTCTAGCACATCATAAGAATCAATGGATGCTGGCCATTATTATAAAGTGTTAATGACTCTGAGATTCCCTCCTACAATTCCACAATCTGTTGGCAGGTAATCAATCATGGCTCGTCTTTCTCTGTTGGGAAATTATGAAAACAACTACCAGGTACAGTAGAGGTTCTTAAAAGTGTGCTCTATTAATTCACAATAGCCAAAAGGTGGAAGTAACCCATGTCCATCCACGGATGAATGGATCAACAAAAATGGCTCCGGAACAGCCACACAGGCATCACCTGGAAACTTTTTAGAAATGCAAATCCTTGACCCACTGAAGGAGAAACTTTGGGGGTGGGCCCCAGTGATCTGTGCTTTAACAAGCCCTCTAGGTAATTGTAGTGCATGCTCAAGTTTGAAAAGCAGTGAGTGACAGCATAGTGTTCAAAAGGATGGGTTCTAGACCACACAACAAGCACTCAAATCTTGACCAGCTCAGCCACTTGCAAGCTGTGTTCTATTAGGCAAGCAAATTAGGCCTCTACTCCAAGCTGTTTTCCCAGCTGTAAAATGGGCATAAGGATAGAACAGACTTCATTAGGTTGTTGTGCTTTACAACAGTGCCTGGCACAACAGACGGCGACTATTACTCTAAACTACTTTCATCACTAAAATAAGAAACTCAGAAATTTCCCAAGTTCACATCATTATATGGGAACAAGACACAGAAAGTTGGATCAGTAACTCACATAGAATGTCTGCAAAGTTTTTTAAAAAGTCCCAGAGTCGTCAGGGTAACGAAGTTTTAAAAATAATTTCAGAAACACTCTTCCCCAGAGATTTAAGACTGGCATGAGCAGTAGGCAGCTGCAAATTTTTATTTTAATTTTTTTAGTAAAAACCGAAGTGATCGTACAAGTGAGCACAAAGTGAGGTCATGCCTTGCTCATAGTTAAACAAAGGAAAAATGAACTGGGAAACAAAAAGAAGTGGGTGGGTCACACTTCTTAAAAATGGAACTGTGAATGTTTGGGGGCTAAATTAGTTCACCAACAGGAAAGTTCCACTAGCTGATAACCGTTGGTCTTATTTTGGTACAATTAGCATGGTAAGTCTGAGTCCTTCTGAATATCTGTGGCACCATCTATTTCCTGAGAGGCCCACTCAGTATGGCTTTCTTCCTGCTCTTTAAATGATTCTTCTGGTCTTGTTATCCTCAAATGCTACACGGAAACGGTAAGGATTTGGGGAGATTTTCCCAGTTTGGGTTAAATGCATGCAATCCTGGATCCCTGACTTCATCTCCTGGAGCTAAAGGTGTTTAGAAAAGAATCTGGCAGTTGCAGGAAGGGTGGTGTCCAGGGCACTTTTTCGAGTTCGTGTTTGCATAAGAAAAAAAAAAAAAGGTGAAATGTTTGTTCACGGTAAAGAGTTGGGGGAGCATCAAAGACTACAGTGGCGGTACAGGGACAGGAGTCCTCCACCTGCCCTCCACGCCCGCTGCTGCTCCACCACGGAAAAGAACAAGACTCTCCTCCAAAAGCTGTTGAGAGAAGGAACTGGGCTTAGGGGCCCAACCCCGAGTGGCTGCTTTCAAGCCTGTGTTAGTGTGACCCGCCCAGAGCAATCTCCAGCAGAGGAGGCTGTAAGGTAGCCAGGCGCCGCCGGTGGGAGGTGGGAAGAAACCAGAGAGCCAAACAGCCGAATAAGCAGAAATCAGGCTTTATTGGGTACACTCCGGGCGGGTTCACAGACTCGGGGGGTCGAGTCAGAGAAGCCGCGCCCGATGCTGGGGTTTGTGATTTTTATATCTGCGCCTGTGGCAGAGGGAAATTGTTGTTAGGGTTAGGTCCTGAGGGGCTATGCATGGGGGCCCCTGGAATGTGAGTCTATTGTCCTGGAGCAAACAGTTCCTGGACTAGGACAGGAGAATGGGACAGGAGTTGATCTATGAGTTTGGGGCAAACAGTTCCTGAAACAGGGAGGGAGTTTAGGTTGGGTAAGCGAGGTAACGGCCCAGCAGTTTGCCTGGTGCCAGTTCCCAGGCCCTCGGACAGAGGCCACACTGCCCTCCAGCAGGTCTTCTATTCTGTAACTTTTGCATAGAATTAATTTCGAATTATGTAGATGTGGCCGTCACACGACCCACCAGGAAGCCGATGAGCCTACGAAAAGATGCTCCACGTCGTTGATGAGAGACATGCACATCAAAACCCCAGGAGACGTCCCCTTGCACCCACGAGGGAACCGCAGTGCAACCCATTCCCACGCAACTCGGTCCCTGAAGAACCGGGTCGTGTGAAAAGTGAGCGTATTCAATCGAGGGGCTAGGGAAACTCTGGGAAAAACGTCCCAAATCTCACGCATTCCCCGAAGGAGCCACAGCGTAACACTGAAACCAAAAATAATGGTCCCGGGGTTTCAACCCCAACTCCCGCGGCGCCGACGAAGAGAAAACCAGCGGCTCCCCAACGGCACATTCGACAGTCTTTCAACTCACCGGTGCCATTGAGCACGTCTTGCCTTCGTGGGGGAAAAAAAAAAATAGGAATTTCATTCTGCTCGTACATAGTAAGCCTTCGACGTTCAACACCGGGGATTACATTTCTCTTAACAAAAGCGAAAGCAGCGCCCGTGACGAATCTGCTTCTTCCGATGTCAAGGGCCGCTCGGGCCGCCGCCAAGAATCTTCCATCGTTGGGAGCCCGGTGCCGGTTTCCGTGCGAAAGGGAGCCCGAGCCTGGTAGAGGTGCGCGGGGGCGGCGTGGCGGGAGCGGGGCCCACGTGGCGGGAAGCCCTTGGTGAATTCGGCCCCGACGGGGTGTCCGCTCCTGTGCGGGCCGCCATGTTGAAACCTGGCAAATGGGGAGACCTTTGGGCGTTGTGTTTTGGGGAACCTAGGCGATAGCTAGGTTGGAAAGATTGCCCGTTCCGCTCTACGTCCACCCAGAAGGTGAGGGGCCAAGGCGGAGGCACTTTGAGGTTTGGGGGGGGTGGTACCGGCCTTTCCACCGGCACTTCCGCCTTTGCGTCTACGGCGCCACTGCGCATGCTCGGCAGGGCTGCTGGGGGCCCGCCTGCAGCTTTGTTTCCCAGCCGGTGGGGAGCGCGGGAGGGTCTTTCTTTGCAGATTCTGTAAAGAATCTGTAAGGAAGGACGTGCTTTGTTTGCGTAATAATAACTTTTGTTTGTGTAGTAGTTTATCATTGTAAAGCACTTTCAGAGACACTGATTTAGCGTCACCAGAACCTAGGGAAGTAGCATTTCGCTGTATTTTACAGATGATTTACATTTTGCCCAACATAGGACAAGGTCTTAAACCTGGGTGTTTCCGGATTACCAAGCTAATGCGCTGTTTCTCACTTTCCACGCTTTTATTTATTTATCTTTTTAATCCTCACTGGAGGACCTGCTTAGAGAGAGAGAGAGAAAAAAAAAAACACGACGGGCTGCCTCCCACATGCACCCCAACTGGGGGACCAGGGTTGGGGGACTGGGGTTCGAGCCTGCAACCCGGGCCATGTGTCCTGACTGGGAATCCAACCAGCGACCTTTCGGTGCACTGTTTGATGCTCCACCAACTAAGCCAGACCAGCCAGGGCAACAGCCCTGGATTTTAAGTAACAGATTTCAGCATTGGCTCTAAAGGTTTACAGAGGTGGTCACATAGTTATTAGCAGTGTCTGAAATGTTGGCAAGCTCTCTGTTATTCCAGCAGGTTCACACGGATCAATGATCATGTGTCAGACTTGAATTTACCCACTCTCTTTAAAAAGCAATGATCATCTATTACAACGAATGACAGTTGCAGTGTGGGACTGAAGTTACCATTACAACCAGTTCTCCTGATCCAGGGCAAAAACAGGTTATCAGCTAGGGAGGTGGGAAGACATCTGATACTCCTTTGAACCAAAGAGCCTGCAGCTGGATGACTTGTTGTTTTAGCTATGCTACCTGTTTGCTGACATGCAAAATGCTGCATTCCAAGCAACATCTTCCCTTGCAGCTTGGCTTTTGAAAAAACCCTTATCTTTCAGTGCCCTTATCTAGACTGAAATGTTTACAGATGAGTGATGCTTGGGAGTCATCTGGGAGTTGGGGAAGCATAAAAGAAACAAGACCACATGTTGGTTGTAGTTGTAGCCAGGCAAGGAATTTGTGGAAGGTTATATGCCATGCTCTACTTTTGGTATGTTTGACATTCTTGGTAGTAGAGTTTATTTTTTTAACATTTCTTTAAGACATGTATTTATTGATTTTAGAGGAGAGAGAAAAACATCCATTGACTGCCTCCTGCACGCCCCCTACTGGGGATCTAGGCCGCAACGGCAACTGCAACCTGGGTATGTGAGCCAACTGGGAATTGAACTGGTGACTTTCTGGTGCATGGGAAGATGGTCGGCAACTGAGCCACACTGGCCAGGGCCTTGGTAATAGAGTTTTTAAAAGTGACATTTCCATAGCGGTTTTCCTATGAACATTTTAAAGTCACTAAAAGGTGAGCCTGGCTTTTAATCTTGGATTTTGATTCTAGTCTCCACATTAAAGTGTAGTTAACAAGTGCTCTTTGGTGGCTAAGCTGGGTGCTACATACATGCATCAAACTTAGGCATGGTTGCCCTCTGCATCCTCCTGGGAGGGAGGGTTGGGGAGTGTGGGTAACGGCATCTCAGAGCCCCACTGCCTGGCTCTGATACGGTCTCCCCCACTTTCTAGCTGGGAGGCCTCAGCCTCTGGGAATCTCCTTCCTTCCCTGTTGAAGAGGTTTGAATGATGGTAGCATCCATTTCATGGGGTTGTCATAAGGATCAATTGGGCAGCTCATAGTAGGTGCTACATAAATGTTGCTGTGGTCCTTCCTAGAACATGAATGATTGGATGCCCATCGCCAAGGAGTATGACCCTCTTAAAGCTGGCAGCATCGATGGCACAGATGAAGACCCCCATGACCGTGCAGTCTGGAGGGCAATGTTGGCACGGTATACCCCCAACAAAGGCGTCACGGGAGACCCCCTTCTCACCCTGTTTGTGGCAAGACTAAACCTGCAGACAAAAGAGGACAAGTTGAAGGAAGTCTTTTCCCGCTACGGGGACATCCGGCGGCTTCGGCTGGTGCGGGACTTGGTCACAGGCTTTTCCAAGGGCTACGCCTTCATCGAATACAAAGAGGAGCGTTCCCTGCTCAAAGCTTACCGGGACGCAGACGGCCTGCTCATCGACCAGCACGAGATATTTGTGGACTACGAGCTGGAAAGGACTCTCAAAGGCTGGATCCCTCGGCGACTTGGGGGGGGTCTCGGGGGGAAAAAGGAATCTGGGCAACTGAGATTTGGGGGGCGGGATCGGCCTTTTCGAAAGCCCATTAATTTGCCAGTTATTAAAAGCGACCAGTATAGAGAGGGAAAAAGGGAAAAGAGGGGGCGATCCCGATCCCGAGAAAGACGCTGGGAGTCGAGGACAAGGGATCGAGACCAGGACCGGGGCCGGGAGAAGAGGCGGCAGGACAGAGAGCCAACCAGGGTGTGGCCCGAAGGCGACTGGGAGAGAGAGAGGGACTTCAGAGATGACAGGGTCAAGGGAAGGGAGAAGAGGGACAGAAGTAAGTAGAGGCTCCTTAGCACCAGCAGAGCCCAAAGGAGGGTCGAGCAGAAGTAAAGGCACAGAGAGGTCTGCCTTGCTTTCCTACAAAGGATAAGTCCAGTGCTGAGTAAAACTTCCTGAGGACAGTGGGGTTTGGGCAGGTTTCCTTTCCAGTATGAATCCCATCCCTGGCCACAGGGCTCAGTTGGTGGGCGTTGTCCCATGCCCCCGAAAGGTCTTGGTTCAATTCCCCATCAGGGCACGTACCTGGGTTTCGGGTTTGGTCTCTGGTTGGGACCTGTATAGGAGGCAGCTGACTGATGTTTTGCTCTTACGTTGATGTTTCCCTCTCTCTTCCTCTCCCCTCCTCCCTCTAAAAGACAATAAAAATATATATATAGTCCAGTCTGAAACCCAGGTTCAAGCTGCACACATACTTACAAATTTCCCTTCTTCACTTTAGAGCTCTAAGGGTACGTTATTTAATAAGCTTGAGAAACTTTGTGCTCGCCAGCCTGTGTATGGAAGGGCGTGTGCAAGGAGCCTGGTCTTTGGTTTGGCAGTAGAGAATTTGCTTTTTCTCCCATCTATTTAAAATGACCATTTTGAGGGCCTGGCAAAAATAGGCGATGACCAGGAATTGTTTGTATTGATCTGTGATTCCTGGGAACCTGAATCTGGAGAGACTACGTTGTATCTTTTCCATCTTTATGTCCACAGTGCAAGAGGTTGCTGCATTGAAATAAAAATGGGATAGAAAAGTGACTCTGAGGAGAGTGTCCGGAGACTTCACCCCAAAGCCAGTCTGAGCAGTGGTTCCGTCCAGTCGGCAACCAGCTCGCCCTTCAACAGATGCTACTCCATTCTGGAGCAGGGTGCTTTCTTTCTGCCTTTGGGTGGGAGGGAGGCTGGCCTTGCACATGAAACACGAGTTGCAGCGCTGTGGGGCCATGGTCTGTGGCAGCCTTCCAGCCCCTGAACAGATCAAGCTTGAGAGGAGGGAGTGTGACACGAAAATGAGGATAAATTGACGACAGGTTTGTATCTTGTTCTGAGGGGTTGATCGGTCATTTCCCCTCGATCCTCTGGCCTTTGCTAAAGAGCTGGGTAGACTGACCTTCGCTTCTGAGGACTTTGAATAAGGGCCACACTGTTCACCCGATATGCACCAAAGTGACATCTAGCATTTTTGTTTTGAAAGTTCAGGTTCTTAGAAGTCAAGACGTTTCGTGCAGAGTAAGTGATTTAACACATTGCGTACCGCATAGAAATCTCTAAGACATAGGCCAGGGACCGCACGTTTTTGGGCAAACTGCACGTTAGGTTCTGAGCGGCACTCGTTTGAACCAGCAGATAGCCATTCCAGCTACTTCAAGAATACAGAACAGTGTGCTGTTTTTCGAACTTCGACCCTCAGAGGGCGAAGAGTCACTAATACAATGATCCTGTATTACCCTGAGCTTCAAAACCTGAAACAGCTGATGCAAGTGCAAACCCGAGTCACCTCGTGCGCGGTCAAAAATGTGTTACCATCGAGACGCACACATTGCTGACCAGGTGTTTGCATTAGGAGTACGAATCTCGTTACGAAAACTTTGCTCTTTCCTCTGGAAATTTCCAGTGCAGAATTTTGCCATCCCCCGTCTCAGGAAAGAGCCCCGCAGGAATACCTCCGGATGTCACCCATGGTCCATTTACAAAGTGCTCCCTGTTACGGGGCCAGTAGCGTGTCACAGGCCGGAGTCGGCAGCTGAACAAGAGTGCATCCCACTCAGGAGGCACGTGCTGGGTGACAGAAGGAGAAACCAGTTTAACTGAGGTGTTTCGTCAACCCTGACTACCAGAATATGGATGGATGGATTTATTTTTTTTTATTTTATTTATTTATTTTTTTATCCTCACCCGAGGACATTTTTCCATTTTTTGCTCAGGTAGAGTGGGAGGGAGAGAGAAGAACAGAGAGAGAGAGAAACATCGACGTGAAAGGAACACATCAAGTGGCCGCCAACCGCACGACCGACCAGGGCCGGGGACAAACTGCAACCGAGGTACGTGCCCTTAGTGGGAACCGAACCCGGGTCTCTCAGGACCGCAGGCCGACGCTCTAACCGCTGAGCCAAACTGGCCAGGGCTGGATGGATTTATTTTTAAATATTTTTTCTTTATTGATTTTGAGAGAGAGGAAAGGAGATAGAAACATTGATGAGAGAACATCTGGCCACCTCCTGCACACCCCCCACTGGGGATCGGACCCACGACCTGGGCATGTGTCCTGACCAGGAATTGAACCAGCGACCTCTCGGTGCGTGGGTTGACGCTCAACCACTAAGCCACACTGACAGGGCTGGAGGGATTTAAAAAAACACACATGCTCAGACTCCATCCCTGGACATTCAGGCTTAGTCTTGTACAGATCCTGGTAACTCACACAAAATTCAAAATGGAGAACCCCCCCACGGCAGGACTTTAGTAGTAGCCATCAACAGGACAGGCATACGCCCTCTGAGGCAGCCGCTCTGGGACACACTTGGAAGCGTGTAGGGCTGTTTTAGAACTTAGAGGACGCAGTCTCCACCAGTGGTGCATGGACAAATTATACATGTATGTGGTAGGCCAGGATCCCTCTGCCTCAGCACTGTCGAGATTCGGGGCTGGGAATTCTGTTGCAGGGGCTGTCCTGAGCACCCCTGGAGCCTACCCACTGGATGAAGTCTCCCCTCCCTTTGCCCACCTGTGAGACAGCCCCAAATGTCTCGACATCTGTCCCCAGTGGGCAAAATCTACACCAGTTGAGACCCAGTGTCTACGGACTGATACGGAGCCATGTCCAGGATATTCCTAAGAAAAGAAAGGTCAGAACAGCATGTATATCGTATGCTGCCATTTATGTAGAAAGTGGAAATTATGTTTTGTTGTTACATAGTTGCATGCATGTTTATAAACGATTTCAGGAAAGACTCCTAAGAAACTGGCAATACTGGTTACCCCTGGGAGGGCAACGGAAGGTGGCTGGGGACGGGGTGGGCGGTTCCTCTGTACACACGCTTCTTACTCTGAGAACACTCATCGTCCCAGTGGGCAGTCAGCTTTGAGAATCACAGAGACATTGTCCTGTCTGGTCATTCTCTCCAGCCATCTGCAAAGAGTCAGAAGACTGGAACCGACCTGACCGTTTGGTTCTTAGCAAACCCGAGTCGAGCCGGTGGCCCCCTCACTGCGCTGTTAGGAAATGCCACTCTCTCAACCCATGAGCACCCAACCTGGCGCCCTGGGTGCTCAGTGGGTGGAGAGAAAAAACATCATTTGGGCAAAAACCCAACTTGCCAGTTGCAGACAGGACATCTGGCTCCCCATCTGCCACCACAGCCCCATGAGTCAGCCGGTCCCCAAGCCACGTTATCACCCACCACCCCTGCTCTGGCAAGTCTCCCCCACCCACTGCTCCCCACCCCCTGGCTCTAACACCCTGTTCCCAATCTGCTTTGGGACATTTGTCTCCTTCGCAGGGGACTAAGTGGTTGACAGAGTGTAGGCTAAAAGGAAAAAAGATGCCAAGTCAAATAAAATCCCCACGAGAAGCATTGCCATCCGATCCTTAGCAACTCTGGTTGGTTGGTACTGCATAACCCGCGGCGGATCCCAAGGCACTGGCCTTGAACACTGCTACATGTTCTGGGCGTTATCGGGATCAAGGGGCCGAAGAGAAACATCGGCTTCTGCAAAGCTGTCTCCGGGTTCCGGGAGGGAGACTGTTGTCGTGTTTTCTGTCGCTTTGTTTCTTCGTCCTGTGACTTTGGAGCCCCCACCTGACTAAAGGATCCATCTGATACAGATGCTCCCGCCGTGACAATGTCACGGAGGCAGCTAAAGAAAACCTACCCCTCCCGCTTTAAGAACGGCAGATGTGATGCTAAAACCCGCGCCCACGGAATTTCATACCAACCAGTCTGACAGCAGTTAAACAGTGGCAAGTGGTATATTTGGCTTAAAGAAGCTTGTGTTACTGAAGTTAATGCAAAAGTCTGGCCTCCACTCATGGTCTTATTAAATATATATCCTAAGGGACCAGAGTCATCTATTATACACGGTGAGAACGCTGGGCATAAAACATTTTGTAGAGTTTGGCAGGCGCTTTTCAATGTGCTTCCTCGACGTGGACAGTTCGTTTGAGAGATCAGTTTGGAGGGGGCGCCCGGACCGAGACGTGTGCAAGGCAGCGACACCTGGGGCTGCCAGGTCGTGCTGGCGGCTGCGGGTTCCTGTCCCCGGGCAGAGGGGGGCCACGGTCACAGGTGCTGCAGGGCTTCCTGTCCTTGCTCCGTGTAACCGTCGTCGCGGTGGGAGTTGGCCCACTGGCCGAAGGACTCCTGGATGTGCGAGTTCCTCTGCGTGTTAGCCAGACGCTTCTTATCTCGGGAGAAGAAGCTAAACCTTTCGGAGGGAAAGAAAGAAATGAGCGCCTGCCCTTGGGGACACACTCGACGGTGACCGCAATACCAGGGACATGTAGCAGCCAACGTGGGAGGGAGCAAATCAAGTCAAGGGATAAAAGAAAAAACAGGGGGTGCGGGTCAAAGTTATTCTAGAAAGCAGCAGGGATTCGGTGTGTCCTTGTCATGGCTCCTTGGAGGTGACAGTGTGAATGGGTGTGCACAGATGTGTCATGTGATGCGCCACCTCCTCCATCAACCGCTACGAGGGCTTCTCGTCACTAGTGGAAGTGAAAAGCAACTAGAAACACACACACATCGTGGCCTTCTGTACCCTAACGGTGCGGAGGATGTCATCCCTGAAAGCCACCAGGAATGTCGGTGGACGGAGTGAACGTCTGTACGTGGTTATGTGTTTATTTAACGCACCAGGATACCAGTGCCTCAAAGCCCAGATTCTGTGGATATTACTGCTCAGGATGAGGCCAGAGTGGGTATTTAAGAAAAATACAAGCCCTGGCTGGTTTGACTCAGTGGTTAGAGCGTCGGCCTGAGGTCCAGAGAGACCCAGGTTCGGTTCCCGCTAAGGGCACATGCCTCGGTTGCAGTTTGTCCCTGGCCCTGGTTGGGTTGTGCCGGAGGCAGCCACTCAATGTGTCCCGTTCATGTCAATGTTTCTCTCTCTTCCTCTCTCTCCCTCCCACTCTGTCTGAACAAAAAATGGGAAAATGTCCTTGGGTGAGGATAAAAAAAAAAAAAAGAAAAGAAAAATACAATGATTAAAAAATATATTAACAGGGCTCGTGATTCTCTGATTAGAAAAACACTGGGAATATACTATGTGAGTGAAATCTGGGAAATGTAGTGATTTACAGTGAAAACCTGGAGCAGTTAAATCACTTCTATTAGAAACAGCGAATGCAGACCAAGAGGTCTTTTGAAAACACCTATGACTATTGAATATTGATCAGCCAGAGGGAACCATCCAATACCTGAAGGGTAAAGGTAGACCATCACAGGCCAAAGCTTACAAAGTGGCCTATTTAAAACAAGGTCTGCTAACTCCACCTACGCAGAGACTAGAACCTTGGCCAGTACCCCTGGGTTGACCCACCCTGAGTATTTCCCTAAACCCTTTTTTTTTTTTTTTGTGGTACATGGCCCTAGTGGGATCCGAACCCAGGACTCTCTGGTCCGCAGGCTCAACCACCGAGCCAAACTGGCCGGGACTCCCCAAACCCTAAGTGGCCCCTGTCCTGTGATCCTCCCAGCCTTTAATGAGATTCCTCTTATCCTCAGCAGGTTCTCCTACTCTGGAAGTCTGGTCTCTGAACTTGCTGAGTGACATAACCGCCATGTTATGCTTCCTGGGGGCAGGAATAGAAATGAATCACTGAGAAATCCAAGCTTCAGATCAACTATTTTTAGTTCTCTTTGTGTGTTCGCCTATTAGTGCTGTGTGCGTGTGTGTGCGCGCCTGCCTGTGTGCACGTGCGCTGTGGCCTATAGCGTTCACCTTTAATCACATCTGGGGGAAATGGTTTTACTACTCTGTGATGCCTAGATCCTGCGATCACGTCCTACCAGGAATAGAAGGGGTCTTGGCACTGTGGAGCTGGGGAAGCCAAAGGCATCGGAGAAACCCTCCCCGCAGCGGCTAATGAAGGCACAGTTTCACCCCGGGTTATTTGTGAGCTCTCTGCAGAGGGTCAGCCATCAGGGCTACAAGCCGGCCAAAAATACAGCAGCAACGCAGAGCTGTGCGTCCCCTCTGCCTCACTCAAGTAAGCAGACAGCCAGGTGCCACTTCCTGTCCAAGGGGACACGGGGAGAATCAATGCTACACAGATCCCCTCCTTTGCTTTTCCTTTTTTTTAAAAAAACAAACAAAAAGATCAAGTAGCTACGGACGATGGCTTGGCAAAACACGGCAGTTTAGAAAGCTGGGCGTGAAGACTAGAAACACAGTGTTAGTGTCACTCGGGGTGGGGGAGGGGGCGGGGGTGTCACAGTGGGCGTTGATTACTGACCCGTCACTTAAAGGACCTTCTTTACTGGATCATGGACAAGGTGGTTTTAGAATAGAAACAGAAAAGACAAAGAGAGTTATCGGTGACAGCGCCGAGACGTCCAAGGCCTCCCTCGTGCGGACTGGGGGCCGTGGGTGGCACTTCGAAGTCGCACTCGACACCCACTGCCCATGGGGATGTGCAGATGCCGGCCATGCAGCCAACGTGGCCAAGGGGGACAGCCCAGCCCAGCGGGAGCCGCAGCCGCAGACATTCAAAGGCAGAGTTCAAAACCAAACCAGAAACACCCAGTGCCTACAAGGGAAACAAGTCCTCGGACCGGCTGCAGGGTGGGGTCATCTAGTATCAGTCCGGCGGCTACCATGGGCATTATGGCTGTAAAGATCCTGGTCAGAAAAGCAGATAGACACAGAGAAGATAAAAACGGAAGAGGCATGAAAATGCACACCACACACACACACACACACACACACGCCCCAGCCGCAGGGTTTGCTTCTGTTACATGGTATGGCTGGAGTCGTGCCCCCCCCCATTCTTATGTTGCCATTCTAACCCCAGGGCCCCCAGAGTCCTGGTAGATGGAACTAGTTAAGATGAAGTTATATTGGACGAGGATCCTTATAAAAGGGGAAATCTGGAGGCAGACACACACACACAGGAAGAAGCCACAGGGAAGATGAAGGAAGAAATCAAGGTGATGCTTCTAGGAGCCAACAGAGGCCAGCAGACCACCGGAGCTGGGAGAGGCACGGAACAGACTTCCTCGTGGCCTCGGAAGGAACTGACCCCGACACACCTTCATCTTGGGATTCTAGCCACATTTCTGTTTAAGCTGCCCGGCTTGGGGCACTTCTATTAAAGCATCCCCGGCAAACGACCCGCGGCACGTGACAACCACGGAGGGGAGACAGGGTGGCGATGCAGGCCTGGGCGCGGGGAAGGGAGCCAACCGTGAGTGCTTGTCAGCCCCTCAGCTGGGCGAGGAAAATGAAGAAACACCAACCAAACCACCACAGCTACGAACAGCTTTGCACCCCCCCCCCCCCTTTTTGGAGGTTGGCTGGGAGAAGATAAAATAATTGTTTCCAATGAGCTTTGGGGATTCTCTTTGTTTGGATCACCTTTGATGCACCCCGCCGAGCAGCTGGTGCCTTGGCAGAACCCCCTGGATGGCTCCTCACAGTGATGAGAAGAGGGGGGTACCTCTTGCTACATGAATGGGCCCAACCCCCAGCGGCCAGGCTAGAGGGCACAGTTAGCTTTCCAGGGGCTCCAACCACACAGTTCTACACCCACCGTCACCGGGATCCCTCTCTTAGCATGACAGGGAGCCCCCAAAGACAGTCTTTGTGTGGGGATGGCCCTGGATGTGGGGTGAGCGTTTTGCCTGGAGAGATGTTTGCCCACTTGGAACATACTGAGCTTCATCTGGGATCTGATCAGGGCCAGACAGATGCACAGGGGCCTTGGGACACTTGGAGGGTTCCGGCCGAGTTACTGTCCGTGTGGCTCACCAAGTGGACAGCCCCTTGCCCGCCTATCACAGGAGCCTCCCTGCAGGCCACCCCCTCTAGAGGGACAGCTGCTTCCACGAAAAAAGACTGGCTTGTTTTGGCAAAGCTTACGTCCTGGATATGGTGTAGCTGGTTTTCACTCCCGGCTCTGTGCCCAACGTCAGGAGGACGAACCCCGCGACACTCCCCCAGTGGCGTTTCAGGCAGGGTCACGCGTGGCTGTGGAGAAGCTACTTGTAGGCTGAAGCAGGAGGGCGGTGGGTGGAAGGACAGGGACAGAATGCTCTGCTGCAGCAACTGCTGGACACCTTGGTGGCCACCGACCCCAAGGCCAAGCTTTCCGGTGTGGAAGGCCAGCTCCCTGGCCATGCCTCTGCCCCCACTGCCTGCTCAGCAGAAAGCAGCTGTGTGTCCATGGGACCCTGCCTGAGAGCCGAAGCCACACAAAGGGGGCACTGGTGCCTGGTGTCCACTGGGGACGAGGCTGGAGTCACTCAGGCGCTCCCGCGTGACCTGCCTGGGTAGTGCCAACCCGGCCTCTCGGGCCAGCAGCTGCTCGATCACAAGCTATTCTTGGACTGTCTTCTGGGGACACTGTTTTGACTGGCAGCAGAGTTTCTGGTTCCCTTGCGGTTCAGCCCAGAAATGTAGACTCTGGCGTCGTCAGCTTGTGGGCACTTGAGAGATAAGGGAACTGGGCAGTCGGCCCACAGCTGGTGACTCAATGAGTGTGGGGGAGGGGATGGGGGTGGGGAGGCAGAACGAGACAGCCAGACAAAAGGCACGGGTTAAATCCTGACTTCCATCCTTCCCACCAGCAGGATCTAAGAAGTCCATGGGCTTCTCTGAGCCTCACTTTCTTCATCTGAGAAACGGGGCTAAACGTCCCAGCTCTGCATCATCTCTGAATGGGGGGGCAAGACACCTTTGTTCAAGTGCTCTAAGCTGGTGAATCCCCTTCAAACCCCCGTGGTAGTTCCTGCTTCCTTGGTGGTGGTGGGGAGAACTGGCCAAGGGCATACGCTGAGCTGGAGAGCAGCTATGAGCTGCATCCCACAGACTGTGTGACTAATACTCTGCAAAAGCAAGGACCAAGGGACCAGGCAGACCAGATGGGCACCAGGAGTGAAGGATGGAGAGAGACAAGCGTGGAACTATCTTAAGAATTACCATTCCCTGCCCTGGTCCGCAGGGAAGATCTGTTCCTGCCCTAGGCTCGGGGCTCGGGGGTGATATGGATGCAGCTCCCAGTTGGCAGCTAACATGGACAAAGGCAACCAGTGTCCTGCCTGTGCTGATCAAAAGCCTTCTGTGCCAGCTTGATTTCCTAGTTATCCCCTAGAAGTCCAGGACGGCCTGGCTTGAGCCACCTGCACTCTGTGGTTGGGAGATTCTAATCCCCCCCACAAGCCCCCCCACCCGGGGTTTCTATGTATCGCTCTGTCCGTCTATCTGTCTGTCTCTGGCTCCCCGACTCCAGTTGCTTCTCTCGCCAGGCTCAGAGCCCCAAGTCTTGCTGATCAACCAGAGGCCATGCTAACTGGGCGAAGGGCTTTGAAATCAGGGCCCCCAAGTCCTTTCTGGAACAATCTGGAGAAGAGGGTCACACCACACCCTATTCTCGTGTGGGTAGAAAAACCAGTGGGCGGAAATGCTAATTCAGATCACTGTCCTCTGGATTTTACAAGTTTGAGATTTGCAAACGCCAAAACTCTGACACCTGTTTCAGGGACGGGCAGGAGTGGACACCGGGAGCCAGAACAGAGGAACCCTCAGATGACGTCTGCCCCAGGACAGCTCGCAGGCGACCCTGGAGGAAGCTGGCTCGAAAGGAAGATGCTAGAATGGTCTGACTGTCCCCAGATCTGGGGACACTGGTCTCCTGGCCTCACCTCTCAGCTCAGGAAGTGGCTGGGTCAGCTCAGCACACTTTCTCAGCTTTTAACCCAAAGCTGTAGCTTACACCCGCGAGTCCTTACATGTGAGTGGGGCCAGCAGACAAAGTCCACGTCTTCCCAACCACCGCGTGAGCAACCCTAAGCAGCGGTGAGTGTGTTCCTGGGTACCAGCACCCCACAGAATCCACAGGGAAGGGCTCCCCCTCCCCCATGGGGGGCTACAGTGGCTGCCAATTACTCCAGTCTGCCTGGCACCCTGACCTTGCTCGGGCCCATCCTCCCCTAATTCCAGCCCCTGGCAACTGAGTTAAAGTGACTCTAAACTTCAGCCAGTGAGAGGGAGCAGCAGACCGGGCCAATCGACACACCGCCCTGTGATTGGCTTAGGGCTGGTCATGTGACCCTGTCAGAGCCAATGAGAGTGGCGCCTCGCTTCGAGGGAAGATTCTCTCCTGCCAGCAGGGGTGTCAGACACCTTGCAGGGAAAGCATGGCCTAGAGCCCTCCGCCAGGAAAACCAAGTCACAGAGAGAAGAGGGAACAAGGCTGGACCCTGATGACAAGGGCTGGATCCAGCTGAGCCTGAAGCCGAAGCGCCCTGGGAAATTTTGGTTACCCAGCCAACAGTGTTTCCTTCTTTTTCTTAAGTTACCTGGAGCTTGAGTTTCTATTGCCAATGGAAGATTACTAATACATGGCCAAAATGGTGTTGGGATACAGACGAAGCCAGTTTTCACCTTTCTGGTTCCGGGAAATACTCATCCCTAATCAGAACTGGGAAGCACCCCCTACCCCAATCCAGCAGAGATGGGGGACCAAGTACATAAGCAACCTGAAGCCGGCAGGAGAGGCTTGGAAGAAAGCCGCGCACTCCGGGGCCACCAGGGCCAGAATGTGACCGGGGCCCTCTTCCCCAAGGTCAGAGGTCTGGCCTCTACAGCGCTGTGCCGGTTTCCTGTCCCCTTCCTGTCCACCAACGCTGAGCATCCAATCAACTCACAGGGTGAGAACTAGTCGAGCATTTTCAAACATAACTGGAATTTAAAGGTGGAGGCATCCAAGGGACACCCCACTCCTTCTCCCCACATGCTCCCGGTGGCCTTCCACGCCCCCCTCCCCCCACTGGCTTTCACAAAGGTTCTGCTGGAATTTGGGGAGAGAAACAAGGCCTCTCCGGTAACAAGCCTTGGGTGCAGCTGGAGCCCGGAAGACAATGAGCCAGGTTCTCCTGTAGAGTTTACCCCTCAGTGCCTCAGTTTCCTTGACTCCGCAATGGCACTGACAGCACCTCCACCGCACTGGGCTCGTGAAGACACAATGAATGAAATCATCTGCAGCAACAGTGCAGGACCCACACCAGGCTCTTAGCCGACAGCAGCTAATTAGACCAGAGCTTTTAACCCTTTATCTGAAGCGCTGCAACAGTCAATGAACCTGCAGTTGTTTGCAAAATTGTATGGTTTTTGTTTTTTTTCTTCCTCCAGCAAAAGGGGTGACAAACTCCCGGCACAATCTCAAAGGGGTCTTTTGATGCGGAGGACCAGTGACGTAGCTCGAAGTCTAGTTGGGGCAAGGTCTAGGCTGCTTTTTCTTGTGTGTTCCCCATGGCACCCAGGGCCTGACTCTGCAGGTTGTATGCATCAGTGAGTACTTAAGGGAGAGATGGAGGGATTGCTGGATGAGTTATCAGAGGAATGCAGAGATGGGGTGGACCCAGGGTCACCCCAGACCTCTCGGAGCTGGGGGTCCGCCCTTAAGCAACACGAACCTCCCCCACCAGCCTTTTTTCCTGTCCTCAAGGACACCCCCCCACCTGATACACTCAAGCAAGCCCCGACACAGCCACAGGCCACCTTCCCGCCCCCCTTGGCCTTCCCCAAACCTCTCTGCACAGGGACCCCCGCATCCAGGGACAGATGACCTCCCAGGCAAGGGCAGGCCTAGCGCTCCAGGTTAGGCCTGTCCGAGCAGGAGGTGGTTAGTGACACGCCTGGTCCTGGAGCAGGCGCCCAGGAGAAGTGGCCGCGTGAACTGCCAGTTCAGCCGCGAGCGAGCCGCCCCGTGGGCTGGAAGCCCGTCACTTACAGTCGCTTGATCCCCGACTCTGGCTGGGGGGACATCCTCGGGTGGGCGATGGGCGGAGGCTGGAGTATTCGATTCTCCTCTTCCATTTCTTCACTGGAAGGGTTGAGAGGCATAAGACAAAAGAATCAAACATTCCGTGAGGGTTTCCGAAAGGGACTGTGAGCCTGTCAGCGCTTCCGGCCAGAGAGGGTCTCCAGAACAGACACAGATACACCCCTTGTCTTCTAGGAGCCAACTGTCCCAAAACTTGGCACAACCCCCGAAGGGGCCAGCGGGGCGCTCCCGGGGACACTCACCTCTTGTAGTACGCCAGCTCCTCCTGCAACAAGAACACCTTGGACTTGAGCTCATTCCTCTCGTGCAGCACGTCCCGCAGCTCCTGCAGCGTGAAGCGGGGGCGGTTGGGGTCCTTGAGGTCCATCGCCACCTTCTCCGCCTCTGAGACAGTCTCCTCTCCACCGGGCTCCGTCTGGAGGAGGCAGAGATGCGGCTGATGAATTCCTGGCGGCCACCACCGGCACCCACTCTGCATCCTGTGGCGCCAAACTGCCCACCCTCCCGCCGCCCCAGCAGCTTGCCCAGGGCGCTATTTTGGGAACCTGAGGGGGCCTCTGCTCATGTTCTGGACAGTCAGTTCCTCTGGAGACAAGGCCGTGGCCACCTGTTCATTGTTTGCCTTCTCAGTTGCCGACCCACAGTCCCCAGCCTCCCCACCTGCCTCAGGTTTCCTTACAAGGTACATTCAAAGGCGGCCAAGGAGGAGCAACAGCACCCCGAAGGTTGCCATCCCGAGACCTGCTTGCTTTCCCTTTCCTGTGCCTTCGCCTCGTAGTCTCCCAGACCACTGCTCGTCTGGCTGAAGCTGCTGGCCTCGGAGCCTGCACATCACTCTCCGCTCCTTTTTCATTTGACGTTGAGTGTCTGCCCTTTCCCATCAGATGCTGGCCCTTTCTTCCCCCGTGGCTGGGGCACTGTCACTGGAGTTCACTGGAAGCCCAGCTCAGGGGATGGTGGGTGGGGTCACACAGATTGATCCTCGCATGCTAAGTCACCTGTCTGGGCCAGACCCGAACCCTCCCACCCTCTGCCACAGAAAGGGGGTTTATTTTTATTTTTATACCCTCACCTGAGGATATTTTTACATTTATCTTCAGACAGAGTGGGAGGGAGAGAGAGAGAGAAACATCGATGTGAGAGAGACACATCTACTGGCTGCCACCCGCATGACCCCAACCGGGGCCAGGAGCGAACCACAACTGAGGTACGTGTCCTTGACCGGAATCGAACCCGGGACTCCTTGGTCAGCGGGTTGATGTTTTAACCACTGAACCGAAGTGGCCAGGGTGAAAGGAAGTTTTAAAAATGGTAACAACATACGCTTACAATTTACCATTTTAAGATATAATTCAGTAGTATTTAGTACATTCATAATGTCGTACAACCACCACCCATATCTAGTTCCAGAACATTTTCTTTCTTCTTTTTTTCTATCCTCACCCGAGGACATTTTCCCATTTATCTTCAGATAGAGCGGGAGGGAGAGAAAGGAAGAGAGAGAGAGAGGAACATCGACGTGAAAGGGACACATCGAGTGGCTGCCACCCGCACGACCAACCAGGACCGGGGACAAACTGCAACCGAGGTACGTGCCCTTAATGTGAACCGAACCCGGGTCTCTCTGGACCGCAGGCCGGTGCTCTAACCACTGAGCAACACAGGCCAGAGCTCCAAAACATTTTCATCACCTCAAAAAGAAACTCCACACCCACTGGCAGTAACTCCCCATTCCCCCGCACCCCAGCCTCTGGCGCCCACCATCTGCTTTCTGCCTCTAAGGGTTTGCCTGTTCTGGACATTTCCTACCAACGGAATCCCACCGTGACATTTTGTGTCTGGCTCCTCTAACTCAGTCGTGTTCTCAGGGTTCACCCACACTGTAGCAGGTGTCAGAACTTGATTCCTTTTCATGACTGAGTAATATTCCACCATCTGGATACACTACTCTCCGTTTGTCCTTTTATCCACTGACAGGCATCTGGGTTGTTTCTGCCTTTTAACTATTGTAAATGATGCTGCCAGAAACATTTATGTACAGGGACTTGTTTGAACAGCTGTGTTTAATTCTCTGGGGTATCTGCCCACGAGGGGAACCTAGTGACTCTATGTTTAACTTTTTGAGGAGCCACCACACTGCTTCCCACAGCGGCTGCCCCATTTTCATCCCCACCAGCGGTGTGGGAGGGCTCCACATCACCAACACGTTTCCCCCCGTTTTTTGGAAAGAAAGTTTTTGCAAGCTGCCTCCACGTCAGCCGGCCACACCTGCAGGTGGCCCATACTGAGCCAACCAACATCTCATGATCAACTTGAAGGAGTGGACAAAAGCTCAGGATGACAGTGGGGAAACTCTGGGACAGGAGAACAAAATAGAGACCCTCCCTGACCCCTGACCCCCAAAACCCCACAGTGGCACAGGGGCAAAGGGACTCCAGCCGAGATGGATGATGCAAGGTCAGGATGTTGAAGGACTCCAGAAAGCATCCTAGAGACTCGGGACAGGCTGTTCCCAGAAAGGACACTTGAAAGGAGACACCGCCCACTGGGGCACATCAGGTGACAGAAGAGGCACTTGGCAGGCATAGCAGGGGGGAGTGGGTGTGACCCAGAGACAGCAGGAAGCAGCAGGCAACAGGGACCACAGGTGGTGGGGGCAGCAGAAAACCCAAACCTGCCCCGTACCGCCCCCCCACCGGCTGTACGGGCGGGGCCTCCTCCCACCCAAGAACTAGAGGAGGAAATGGAGGATTTAACGTCTCAAAAAGTACATCTGTCAGGTGGGCTGTGGTCAGGGACGTCTTCAGTGTCCAGAGCTACACGCCCGAACAGCATCCCCGACCGAAGACCATGTATATAGCAAGCACCTGGTGGACAGTGGCGCTCACTAACGCCAGTTCATTTCTCTTCCCCTACCCAGGTTAACCAAGGCGCATCCTCGGATGTCTAACACGTATTCAACGTATCTTAAGTAAGCATTAACTTGGTGCCTGCTGGGCACTGAGCTAATGAGATGAATCAGGCAGGTATGGGTAGTGGGAAGAGCCACACAACTAGAAACGGACAGGGTCATGCAATAAAACAGGTGCGAGGCATCCAACGCTAACGGGGGAGGGTGGCAGAAGGTGTTACTGCAGGTGTGGTCTCTACACGGGGTCTTGACAAACGTGTGGGAGTTTGCGAGGAACTCTGCCAGCCCCGCCAGCCACACCAGCCTCCGTCTCTTATGTCGTTTGGCTCCCACTGTATTCTAAAACTTTGGCCACAAAGTGTAGATCAGATTTCACACTAAAGCTTAGGTTTCTGGCTTCCATTTGGATAAAAATGGGAAGACTGGGTCACAGTGGACCCCGTACTGGGCTGAGGCTATGTAGCTGCTGTTCCCACTTCCGTGCTCTGTGCACGGCTGCTACCTCCCCACCCCTTTGCCACTCTGCCCTGGCCCGAGGCATCCGTGGCTGCTTCCGTGGACACGAAGCTCAGGGTCATGCTCTCCCTCCAGCCCCTCCCTCCCCAGACCACTCAGGTCCTGCCATTCACCGTCCTGGGTCTCTGTGTCTCTAGAAGGGGCCATCTGACGGGTGTCCACCTGCCCTGGGGAGGGTGACAAACCCTTCCAGAAGCACCCAGAACCAGGAAGTGCCAGCCAACCGACCCAGATGCTGGTGGTATTTTCCACCACAAAGAAGAAATGACAACTGTGTGATGGGACAGAGGTGTTGGTGTCAGCTAACCCTCTAGTGGCACTCGTACTGCGATACATTCATGTATCTAATCCACGTGTGTGTACCTTAAACTTATACAATGTTAGATGTCAATTATGTTTTAACAGAAATGTTTTAAAAAAGAGGCTTCCCGCCCTGGCCAGTATGGGTCAGCGGTTAGAGCGTCGGCCTGCGGTCCAGAGAGACCCGGGTTCGGTTCCCGCTAAGGGCATGTACCTCGGTTGCAGTTTGTCCCCGGCCTTGGTTGGTCATGCGGGTGGCAGCCACTCGATGTGTCCCTTTCACGTCGATGTTTCTCTCTCTCTCTTCCTCTCTCTCCCTCCCGCTCTATCTGAACAAAACAAATGGAAGAACGTCCTCGGGTGAGGATTGAAAAAAAAAAAAAAAGAGGCTTCCCAAACCCTCACTTCCCAAGAGGCCTCTGGGCGAGCTGTCTGCTGCTCTCCAGGCCTGTACTTCTCCAGCTAGCCCTCGACAGCCAACACTGTCTCCAGGGCCTTCCCGCTCAGACATCGGGGGTTCCCAAGAACACTGGCTCAGCCGGAGCCCGACCTTGCTCACCCCACAGGCTGTCATCACCCAGCGCACCGACGGGTTCCTCAGAGCCCGGCTCTTTCTCTGGGGGTGGGTGGCTGCTGTATGGGGGAGCAACCTGATGCCCTTAGAGCCGGGGGCTTCCCAGACACATTTGCAACTGCGGCCTGGCCTCTGGGGCCGCTGCCTGGGGTGCGGGAGGGGCAGCTGAGCTGGGGGCCCTGACGCAGGGCCCGGGGCAGCCCCGATCGGCCTTGGCCCGAGACGGAGAAGGCTCACCCAGGTGGCAATCACGCCGATCGATCGGCAGCGGGCTTCTCGGCTTACTGCACGAGGACACAGAGGTGGCCTGGGTTATCTCGGACTGTCCGCTGGTCCCATGAGGCACTTTGGGCACAGCCTGAGAGAGATGCCTGACGCCCAGCTGCTCCCTGGGGAGGCTCAGGAGCCCGGCCGACAAGCAGTGAGGTCTGTGCAGAGGGTTTGGGAGGCCACAGCTGTCTCAGGGCCTCCATCCCAAGGCGTGGCCCCGAGCGTGCCCCCTGCTGCCTGGGCACATCATGGCCACTTCCTCTGCCCCTGGCCAGCCAAGGGGACTGACTGCTCTGCCCACCCTCGGTATCACCAGGACCACCGTGCATGAACTCAGCCCGAAAACCCAGCCTCACCTGGTGGCTCCTGCCTGCTTTCCCTGTCTACTTACTTATTTTTAATGTTTTTTTTATTGATTTTTTGGATATAGAGAGATAGAAACATCAATGAGAGAAGCATCAACATCAATTGGCTGCCTCCCGTGCGCCCCCACCAGGGATCTAGCCTGCAACCCCGGCACGTGCCCTGACCGGGAAGCGAACCAGCGATCTCGTGGAGCATAGGTCCATGCCCAACCACTGAGCCACACTAGCTGGGCTCCCTGTGTACTTAAAAAAAACTTACTAAGAAATCAGAACTTGTAAGACACAGACATCAAGGAGGTACTTTTTTTTGCATTTATCTTCAGATAGAGCGGAGGGAGAGAGGAAGGAAGAGAGAGAGAGAGAAATATCAGTGTAAGAGTCACATCGACTGGCTGCCACCCACACAACCCCAACCGCGGCCAGGGACAAACTGCAACCAAGGTTATGTGCCCTTAGCGGGAATCAAACCCAGGACTCTCTGGTCCACGGACCGACGCTGTAACTGCTGAGCCAAGCTGGTCAGGGCTCAAGGAGGTAACTATTAACTTTACAGTTTTCTTACTGATTTGATATAAAATGCTTTAGACAGGAAGCCCACTCATTTTCTTAAGAGTTTATATGTCCAATTATGAAAACCTTCAATTAAAATCTGAGGAACTGGATAAACTAGAAAATGTGCAGAGTGGAGAAGCCAGTGAGGACCACACGGTGTCCAATTCCATTTCTATGGAAATGTCCAGAATAGGCAACTGCATAGAGACAGGAAGTAGATCAGTGGTGGCCAGGGGCTGGGGGACAGGGATGGGAGTGGCTGCTAATGAGCTTGGGGTTTCTTTCTGGGGTGATAGAAACATTCTCGATTGTTGCACAATAGTTAATATACTAAAAACCATAAATTGGCCCTGGCCGGTTTGGCTCAGCGGTTAGAGCGTCGGTCAGCCTGTGGTCCAGAGAGACCCGGGTTCGTTTCCCGCTAAGGGCACGTACCTCGGTTGCAGTTTGTCCCCGGCCCTGGTTGGGTCATGCGGGTGGCAACCACTCGATGTGTCCGTTTCACATCGATGTTTCTCTCTCTCTCTCCCTCCCACTCTATCTGAACAAAAAATGGAGAAAACAAAAAACAAAAATCCCTGAATTGTACACTTTAAGTGGTTGAACTATACAGTATGTGGATTATATCTCAATAAATAAATGTCATAAAAGTATAAAAGGAGCCTTGTCTACTGGAGAGCACACTGACATGGCAGTGATATAGCCCAGAAAGGATCACACGATTCAAGGGGGAGAATCAGTGTAACTGAGGCAACTGATATCTCGAAAGCTCTGGGTCCCTCACAACTCCCATCTCCCCTGACCAATCGAACCCACACCCAGCCACACCCTGCACATGCTGCAGTCCGGCACAGGCTCCTCCTCCTGCCTGGAATGGCCCGCCCCCCATCCCACCCCGGGGCATCCTGCCCATCCCACGAAGCCCATTTCAGTGCCTTGAAGACCTGCCCGCCCTTGGCTCTCAACTCGGAGTCCGCTGTGCCCTCTGCTCCCAAGGCCGACTATCCCAGCCACACTACTGGATCTACTGGATGAGATCAAGTCCGTTCTCTTCATTGGCCAGATAGGAAACTGACCACCGAAGAAATAGATGGGCCCTAGGTCGCATGGCAGCAGGTGGTGAAGCCACCACAGATGGCTTTCCTGCCTGAGCGACGAGATTCCGGAACTCCGCCCAGCTCCCAGGGGCAGTCAAACCCAGTGAGGCTGCCCTGAGTTTGGGAACAGATGAGGCGGAGCAGCTTCGTGGATTAGTCAGAACTGTGAGCTGATTTCACTGCCCCGTTTCTGTCCCGCCACATCAGTGCCAGAACGGGAAACTGAAACCCACATTCAAGATCTCAGGCCATGCCCTGGCCGGTTTGGCTCAGTGGTTAGAGCATTGGCCCACGGAGCAGAGTCCCGGGTTCAATTCCAGCCAAGGGTACGTACCTCGCTTGTGGTTCGTCCCAGCCCCGGTTGGGGTTGTGCCGGAGGCAACCAGTTGATGTAGACACATCGATGTTTCTCTCCCGCCCCCCACTCTATCTGAAGATAAATGGAAAAATATCGAATGAGGATTTAAAAAATAAATAAAAAAGATCTCAGGCCAAAATGATTGGTTAAGTGATGGGTTCCCTCAGACTTTTGCTAGGAATTTAAGAGCCAATTTCTTTCATTGGGGTTGCAAAGCTGGTCGAGGACCAGGGGTCACCACCAGGCAAGAGCCAGCTGAAAATGACACCAACACAGAGAAAAACAAAGCTGAGAGAAAGGCTGAAATACATTCCTGATAGTATCATTTGGGCGCCTGGAACCAGCTATACCTGAAGTTATCCTTAACTCAAAGCTTTTAGTTACTCAGCTAAAAAATTCTTGGGAAAAAAAAAAAATCCTTAACCCATTTTAACTTAGGCTGTTTCTACTTTTAACCAAAAGCCGGCCCTGACCTCTCCTTGCAAGACTTCTTTCTCTTACCTCCCTATCTGTACCCCAGGTTTCCGTCCTTCAGACAGCCTCGCAGTGTCTGGCCTGAATTCACAAGACACTTAATGACTGTGCTGGGACTTGAGCCAACGCCACGGTGAGCTCATCTGTCTTACCTCCCTGACCTGTAACCCGGGAGACTAGCACAGCGTCCGCACACCTGACACAAGCGATAATCAGAAGAAAGAGCAAGCCCCGAGCTTTCCGGAACAGCTCCCTCTGCTTTTCTGAAGCGGCATGTCCGTCTTCACCCACTGATCAAAACCTAGCTCTCTGAGCAGCGCTTCCTTCAGTCACGGGCCTTCCGAAGCCAAGCCCACCTTGAGCATGAATTGCCTTTTTTTTTTTTTATCCTCACCCGAGGACATTTTTCCATTTTTTTTTTGTTCAGACAGAGTGGGAGGGAGAGAGAGAGAGAAACATTGATGTGAAAGGGACACATCAAGTGGCTTGCTACCCACACAACCCAACCGGGGCCGGGGACAAACTGCAACTGAGGTACGTGCCCTTAGCGGGTACCGAACCTGGGTCTCTCCAGACCGTAGGCCAACGCTCTAACCGCTGAGCCAAACTGGCCAGGGCTGAATTGCCTTTCTTTATAAATTGAGATGTAATTCACATACAATAAGATCCGCTCTTTTAAAGTATAGAATTCAGTGTTTTTATTTTAGTTATTTATTTTTCTTTATTGATTTTAGAAAGAGAGAAAGGGAGAGGGAGAGAGGAATAGAAACATCGATGAGAGAAATCATCGATTGGCTGCCTCCTACGTGGCCCTCACTGGGGATTTGGCCCACAACCTGGGCATGTGCCCCAACCGGGAATCGAACCGGTGACCTCTCAGTGCATGGGTTGACGCTCAACCACTGAACCACACCGGCCGGGCCAGAATGCAGTGTTTTCAGTACATTTTGTTGTGCAACCATCACCACTAATTCCAGAACATTTTCATCACCCAAAAGAGACCCCGTTCCCATTAGAAGTCACTCCCCAGACCCTCCTCCTCCAGCCCCTGTGACCACCAATCTGCTTTCTCTCTCTGTGCATTTGCCTGTTCTGGACATTTCAAATAAATGGAATCATGTAGTATGTGGCCTGTTGTGTTGGCTACTCTCATGCAGTGTGTTTTTGAGGTTCAGGCATGTTGTAGCATGTCAGTGCTTCATTCCTTTTTTATGGCTGAGTAATAGTCCACTGTATGGACAGGCCCCATTTTGTTTATTCGCTCATCAGTCAATGGACATGTGGGTTGTTTCTACCTCTTGGCTAGTGGAAATAGTGCTACTATGAACTTGCAATATAACCTGTAGTTATTTGAATGAGTGAGTGAATGAATGAATGAATGAGTGGCAGGTGCCTCGTAACCATCTGAGCTGAATACCCTGGGCTAAAAGCTGGGAGCGATGAGCTCGGCCTCTATCCAGCTGCATGTGCTCCAGGCAGCAGCTGGCTCTCTGGGCCTCCTGCTTCTATAATGGGGAAAACAAGGCAGCCTCCAGCCGGCTGCCACCTCACCTCAGGCTCCTCCTCGCCGTTCTGGCTGAGTCCACCCTGCAGCCTCTCCCGCAGCTTCCCGAGCTCCGCCCGCAGGCTGCCCATCTCCTGCTCCTTGGTCTGCAGATCTGCCTCCAGCTCGACCTTCTGTTCGATCAGGGCCTTGCCCTGGGCTTCCACCACGGCGACGCGGTGCCGGAGGTCATGGTTGATCTTCATCAGCCGCGTCTGCTGCTGCTGCAGCTGGAGAGAGAGAGGCCACGGTATGAGCTGACCGGCTCACGCCGCCACAAGGGCAAAGCATCGCACGTGTGCCACGCATCCTGCAGACGTCTTCATTCGTCTGACATTTGTTCACATAGCTGTGTTGGTGCCAGGGATGGGCACTTTGTATATTTACTACGGTAATTTTATGACAGATGGGTGGTAAGTGCCTTGTTAGTATATTATGACAATTTCCCAGCAGATGGAAGGAACAGGCCTTGGAAAGGGGTGAGTTTTTCTAATTCAGGCAGAGACACTGTATAGGTTCCTGGAGCAGCCTGGGGGACACGAAGAGGGGTGGGCTCCGGGAACCATCTGTTTAAGGGGGAAGCCTCGGGGTCAGAGCAAAGGCTGGTGAGGCCTGGGGACTTCCCCAGGGTGTGTGCGGCAGGAGTCAGGCCACTGGGCACGGCCAAGGTCCCTCCTGCTATTTCAGGGCTGGGCCCACCAAGTCTCAGGTGGGATCCCCACCCCACGCAGCCCACGGAATGAGACCCAGTCTCTTGCTAGAACCCACTGGCCGGGGGGATGCACACTGGGTAGGGCTTGTCACTTACTGCCTCCACGTCCTCGTTCTTCAGACCGAGCTCCCTGTCCTTGGCACGGATCTCGTCGCGCTGTTTGTCCACCACCTCCTTCAGCTTCTTCATCACCTGCCGCTCCCGCTCGGACATGCCTGGGAGGGGGCGGGGCGAGACCTGCAGGTGAGTCCGTGGCTGCCCTGCCGGGACCACCCGCCGCTTCCCGCTGGGATGAACCAGCCGGGCCTCATCTCTCCATCCAGCCGTGGCCCGAGGGACGAGAGGACGCCGTGTTTCTCAGACACAGTGTGCGCACGGGTGTGGGGTGGCGCTGAAGTCACATGTGGGCAGAGTCTGTGCAACAGCCACAAAAGGGTCTGCCGTCTGCTCCCTGAGCATCTATCCTACAACAAACTCGGCGGGAGGTGGGGGCACTGAGGGCGAAGCTCACGTGGGGGGCAGCACCCACTCCTGGAGAAAGCAGGCAGGAAGAACAGCTGCGGGGCAGGGAGAGCAGGAACCAGAGAAAGGAAACCCAGCTGCGTCATCCACCTTTACGGGCGTCTGCGGCTCTGAGGCTGAGCGGCGTTGATGGAAACGGTTAAGACCCTGGGTCCGAAGCTGGATTTCCTGGACGCAGTCCTGGCTTTGCCACTCATCTGCCACTGACCTCAGCCTGTTTTCTGACCTGCCAGCAGGGTCCTGAGGAGCGCCCCGGCCCCACGCCCGGGCGCTCTTCTGAGGTTGCTCTGGTTAATCTGTGAGAAGCCCGGCGCCAGGCCTGTACAGAGTGAGTCTGGTTAGCTGTCATTTCATCCATACACTGGACACACCAGGCCTCCCTGCTCCAGAGGCAGCAGCTAAGGTCCAGTCCAGGGGCAGTTACAAGAGCGCCTTGAAGAATTCAGAGGGTTGTTTTTCATAGACTCACAGACAGCCCCGGCCGGTTTCGCTCAGAGTTGCAGCATTGGCCCAGGGACTGGAGTCTCAGGATCAATTCACAGTCTAGGGCATGAACCTTGGCTGCAGGCCATTCAGGAGGCAACCAGTCAACATGTCTCTCTCACATCGATGTTTCCCTCTCCTCTCTCTCTCTCTCCCTTCCCCCCTCCCACTCTATCTAAAAAAATCAATGGGAAAAATATCCTCTGGTGAGGATTAAAAAAACAACAACAGACTCAAGGACACTTAAAAGGTGGAAGACTTCTGAGCAATCATTTAGTCACCCAGCAATTCAAGATCTTGAGATTTAAAGAGACATCGAGATAAGTGATGGAGCAAGTCCAAAGTGGGTCTCACAGGAGCCACTTTTGTAGTAGCAAAGAAAAATGGACCAACACCCACCAACAAGGAAACAGTTAAATCAACAAGGCCCTTCCACCCAGTGGAACACTATGTAGCTGGTTAAAAGACTGAGATTAATAAAAACTATTGTCTGGCTGGTATGCTCTTTGGATTGAGTATTGACTCATGCACCAAGAGGTAGTAGTTCGATTCCCAGTCAGGGCACATTCCCAGGTTGTGGGCCAAATCCCCAGTGGGGGGCATGCAGGAGGCAGCCAATTGATGTTCTCTCGCATCTATGCTTCTATTTCTCTTCCCCTCTCCCTCTTTCTCTAAAATCAATAAAGAAAATAAAATTTAAAAATAAATAAATAAACTCAAGGCTGTCTGAGTGCTTAACTGCCATGCTATTAAAAACAAACAAACAAAAAAGCCCTGGCCGGTTTGGCTCAGTGGTTGGAGCGTTTGCCTGAGGACCAGTGTCCTGGGTTCAGTTCCCACTGGGGCACGTACCAGAAAAAAAAAAAAAAGATAGAAACTCTGGCCAGCTGGTTGCTCAGTGGTTAGAGCATCGGCCCATGGACCAAAGGGTCATAGGTTCGATTCCCAGTCAAGGAAGCGTAACTGGGTTGCAGGTTGAATCCCCAGCCCTAACTGGGTTGTGTGGGAGGCAGCCAATCGATGTGTCTGTCACATATGGATGTTTCTCTCTCCCTTTCTCACTTCCACTCTGTCTAAAAATCAGTGTCGGAAATCAATGTCAGGTGAGGATTAACAACAAAAAAAAGACTGAGATACAATGTTACATGAGACAGGCAAGTCACAAAGTCATAGCAACACTGTTCACAATGGCCAAACATTGTAGAAACAGCCCACATGTCTATCAGCAGAGGAATGGATAAACAAAGGGTGGGCTATCCGATGGAATATTACTCGGCCACGAAAAGGAATGAGACACAGATTCACACTGTAACACAGACGACCCTCAAAAACATGATCCTGAGTGAGGAAAGCCAGACATAAAGGCCACATGTTGTCAGACTCCATTTAAATATAATGTCCAGAACAGGCAGATCCAAAGATGGAACACAGATCAATAGCGGCCTGCAAATGGGCACACGTATTCTGTCCGGAGTGATGGGAAACTTTAGAAATCAGATTGTTGTGACAGTTGTACAACTCTGTTGTGACAGTTTAGTAAACGTCAGTGGGGGAAAAAAGTATTTTCTTTCCTTTTTATGCAAGGGTACACAGCTGATTTTTTTTTTTTTTTTTTTTATCCTCATCCGAGAACATTTTTCCATTTTTTGTACAGATAGAGTGGGAGGGAGAGAGAGGAAGAGAGAGAGAGGGAAACATCGATGTGAAAGGGACACATCGAGTGGCTGCCACCCGCACGACCAACCAGGGCCGGGGACAAACTGCAACCGAGGTACGTGCCCTTAGCGGGAACCGAACCCGGGTCTCTCCGGACCGCAGGACGACGCTCTAACCGCTGAGCCAAACCGGCCAGGCACAGCTGATTTTTTATTGAGCTGAAATTCCTACCAAGTTGGTCCCCACATAAGTTTCCACTGGTAGGACAAAGTCAATATCTCAGTCCTTGGGCACATCTCTTTTGTTTTCTTGAATTTTTTTTTTCTTTATTGATTTTAGGGAGAGAGAGAGAAGAAGGGAGACAGGGAGAGAGATAGAAACATTGATGAGAAAGAACATTGATTGGCTGCCTCCTGCACGCCCCCCACTGGGGATCTGGCCCACAACCTGGGCATGTGCCCTGACCGGGAATCAAACCGGCGACCTCTTGGTGCATGGGTTCACGTTCAACCACTGAGCCACACCAGCCGGACTCGGGCACCTCTCTTACTGGACGGCACTACCTTTGATACTTTTTCTCAACCATCCTGGGGGTCAGGAGCTGTCGTTCCCATTCTGCAGGTGAGCAACCTGAGGACGGCCAGGTCAGCGACACCCAGCTCGGTTTTCCTCCTCTCCTGGCGATGGAGTTGTCTGCCCAGAACCCAGGAATCTCCCAGACCCGTGACCGTATCTCTGCACCCCCCTTTCCCCTGTCCAATGGCTCTGACACCTGTAATTTACGTCTGCATGTGCTAACAGGTAGTTTCTACTGTTGCCCTGAGAACAGGGGGCAGGGAAGTGCTTTCGAGTCTGCAGAACTCCAGGCCGTGGGAGGCAGGAGACCGCCCAGGTGGCTCTGAGCGCGGAGCCCGGTATTAACTGCCTGGAAGGCCACGCTGTTCCACACAGGGCTGGCCCCTCTCACCCCATCTCACACGGCACCCCTAAATCCTCAGCCTCCCCTAGGCACTCGGGTCTCATTTAGCAGACTACACCTTCTCCCAGGGACCCGTCTGCCCGATGCCTGTTCCTCTCGCACGGAAAGATGTTTTTGTCCTTGTGTTCCCATGGTTTCTGGTGCAAAATAAAAAGAACAGTGAAAGGCACAGGCGCACCTGGCCCCTGCCTGGTCTCTCCGCCTGGTGGGGACTGAGCGTCCCCGCGCTAACCCTTCAGGAGCCGGAGCCACGCTAGGTGCCCGTTGAGTGCATCTCAATCGCACCAGGTGGACTGCTCCAGGACCGCAGGGCAAGGCTGCGGAAAGCCGAGCCGACCTCTCCCACGCGGAGGGTGTGACGCGCAATGACGTGTGGCAGCCGCCCAGGGCACTCGGGGCCACGCCTGGGACCCCCAGGCCTCCTGCGCATCACTCGGACAGGCAGGGGAGTTCCCAGCTCACCCCCAGAGGCCCGGGGTGCCCTAAAGAAATGTCACAGACAAGAAGATGGCTACAGGCCCTGGCCAGTTTGACTCAGTGGTTAGAGCGTCGGCCCGCAGACCAAAGGGTCCTGGGTTCGATTCCAGCCAAGGGCACTTACCGCGGTTGTGGTTCGTCCCCAGCCCCAGTTGAGGTCATGTGGGTAACAACCAATGGATGTATCTCTCTCACATCGGTGTGTGTGTCTCTCTCTCCCTCTCTCCTGCTCTATCTGAAGATAAATGCAAAAATATCTTCAGGTGAGGATTAAAAAAAAAAAAAGAATTAAGAAGATGGCTACGGCCCTGGCCAGTTTGGCTCAGTGGTTGAGCGTCAGCCTGCGGACCAGAGAGTCCCGGGGTTCGGTTCCCACTAGGGGCACGTACCACCAAAAAAATAAAAAAGATGGCTACAGGTTCCCCAATAAGCTCAACACAGTTGCCGTGGGACCCAGCAATTCCACTCCTAGGTGTAGACCCTGAAGCACTGAAAACACACGCCCCACAAACACCTGGACTGGCATGTTCGGAGCGCCACCACTCCCAACGCCCATGGCTGGAAACGACCCAGAAGTCCATCGACGCAGGCATGCGTAAGCCTGCGTCTGTCCATACAACGGAATATTACTAAGCCACGAAAAGGAACGACGAACTCTCTCTGCTTCAGCTCTTCAAAAAGGAGGTTGGACCAGAGAACAACAACTGGTAATAATAACAGCTCACACTTGCTGAGTGTATGTACTGGGTATGATTCTAAACAGTCCACACAAATTCATTCATTTCATCCTCAGCAACCTGATGAGGAAGAGACGGTCATTTCCATTATCACACGGGGCACGTAGGCACACCAAGGTCCAGTGGCTTGATCAAGGTCACTCACAGGTAAGTGCTGGGGCCAGCACTGAACCCTGGCCATGTGGCTGTAGAACCCATGCCGATAACCACTACGACGTTTGTTTCCATTGCACGAATCACATCTCAACAAAGGAGACCAAGGAACAGAGAATTTCAGCACGTGGATCCAACCTTTCCCTTTCTCTTGGCCCCTACATTCCTTATCAGTGTGCTACTTAGCCTCACAGAGCTGTCCCCCAAGTCCTGAACCTCAGGGGCCCCACCGAAGTCCATCCCCATCCCATCAAACCTGGGAAGGGCATTTGTGCGGGACCCAAGATGTCTACTCAAACTAAAGAGATGGGTCTGAGATGCCTGCGGGGTCAGAGGCAGCCTCTGAGTGGGAAGGAGGCAGGCGGGAGCACAGAGCAGATGGCGCCCACGGGGCCCTGACCAAATCCCACCCTCCCCCTTGCTTCCCCAGCACCGGCAGAGGGCCTGGGTGGAAGGGTCTAGAAAGCTGCTGGTGGGATGAATGACAGCTGAGGGGCTCCAGCACCACTCAGACCTGGGTCGCTCACTGCTAAATGCGTGCCTGCGACAAACACCTCCGATTGCTTCCCAGCACACTGGAAACAAAAGCCAAACCTTCGCCTCTAAGAAACCAGGTGCTCTGACCCCTGCTGCTCCTTCTGACCTCATCCTTAACCCTCCATTATCTTCTCCTGTTACACTGGTCTTGGTTTTTCCATAAACACTCATGCCCCAGGGCCTTTGCATTTGCTTCCCTCCTAAGATATTTGCATGGTCACTTGGTCACTTCATTAGGGCTCAAAAGTCACCTCATCAGAGAGTCCTTCCCTGGTCACCTCTATCCTACACCTGTTTTATCTCTGCCACAGCACTGGCCACCATCTGGAGCAGGGTCCTCTATTAATTTGTTCACTTTTTTTTTTTTTTAATCCTCACCTGAGGACATTTTTCCATTTTTTGTTCAGGTAGAGTGGAAGGGAGAGAGAGGAAGAGAGAGAGAGAGAAACATCGACGTGAAAGGGACACATCGAGTGGCTGCCACCCGCACGACCAACCAGGGCCGGGGACAAACTGCAACCGAGATACATGCCCTTAGCGGGAACCGAACCCGGATCTTCCTGGACCGCAGGCCGACGCTTTAACCGCTGCACCCAACCGGCCAGGGCTGTTCACATGTTTGTCACGCGTCTCCTGCATACTAGCACACGCTTCATGGGGGAAGATGCTCTCTCTTGTCCGGCGTGTCTGCCCAGTGCCCAGACAAGGGAGACGTTTGTAACAATGTACTGAATGAGCCTCTCGGTTTCCTCGTCTGTATGTACATTAGGCCACACCATTCCGCTCAGGCCGAGCGATGGTGACAACAGGGGACTGGCCCCCCACCCTCGCCCAGGGACCCGCACCGGCGACGACCCCTCGCTGACCCTCCTCTTACCTTCGTGCTTCTGGAACTCCTCCTCGGAAAAGCTGACGTCCTTGTGGGAAAGGTTGGTCAGGAGCTGCTTGTTCTCCTCCTGCAGCTGGGCGATCTGGGACAGGAGGTCCTGCGCCTCCCCTCGCCACACGTCCTCCACCAGCTCCAGCTCCTGGAAGGCGAGGGCCGGGGGTCACAGCCTGCCGGGGCTCTGGGTCGCCCCTTCCCCACGAGAGCCAGCACGGCGACTCTGCACGCAGGAGGAGGCGCCCTTCCTCTGCTCAGACCTGGCCAGGTGAGAAACGCCCCAGGGACCACGGAGCTCACAGTGCCCCTGTCCACTGTCTGGAGAGGAGAGGGAAGAATGAGCGGCCCCGGGTGACGGGGACCCTCACATTCCCAACCTCTTGGGGAGCCCGTCCCTGATCTCTGGGCAGACCCTCAGTCAGGACAAACCTCTCTCCAAGGGAAAAAAGAGGCTGCAAAGACCCCGGGGGTTGCTGCCTGGCCCCAGAGTTCCTCACATGCATCTCTTCATGCAGTCTTAGGCAATCTGTTTAACCACGCTGAGCCTCAGTTTCCCTCAGTTGAGGAGCCCTAATATAAAGGTTCAACAGGGTTAGTGTGAAGATAAACGAGATCCGTCTATTAAAATAATTTTGTGGCCCGGCCGGTGTGGCTCAGTGGTTGAGCGTCGACCCTGCACCAAGAGGTCGCCGGTTCGATTCCCGGTCAGGGCATGTGCCCAGGTTGTGGGCCCGATCCCCAGTGGGGGGCCTGCAGGAGGCGGCCAGTCGATGTTCTCTCTCATCAATGTGTGTCTCTCTCTCTCTCCCTCTCTCTTCCTCCCTAAAATCAATAAAGATAAAAAAATAATTTTGTGGATGGCTGTCATCAAAGAACCAGATAATAACAAGTATTGGCACGGATACAAAGAAACGGTAAACCCCGTGCACTGCTGGTGGGAATGCGAAACGGTGCAGCTGCACGGACAGCCCGGCAGTTCCTCCAAAGACCCAGCAGAAAGGAAAACACGTCCACACAACACGTACGTCCACGTGCACCGCAGCACTGTTTACAGCCCTCCCAAGGTAGAAACCACCCACGTGTCTGTCCATCAGGCCTGCACGCATGAACAAACCGTGGTCCATCCGCACAAGGGAATATTCCTCAGCCACAAAAGAAATGAAGCACCGACACCTGCTACCACCTGCGTGAGCCTGGCAACGATCACCCTGAAAACAAGACACAGCAGCCAGACACAAAGGACCACAGGTTGCAGGACTGCACTGATGGGATCTATCCGGAGGAGGTCGATCCCCAGGTGCAGAAAGCGACAGCCCACTGTCCGAGGCCAGAGGTTGGGGGTAAATAAGGAGCAACTATTACGGGACACGGGTTTTCTTTCTTTTTTTTTTTTTTTTATCCTCACCGGAGGACATTTTTCCATTTTTTGTTCAGATAGAGTGGGAGGGAGAGAAACATCACATGAAAGGGACACATTGAGTGGCTGTCTCCTGCACACACGACCCAACCAGGGCTGGAGACAAACTGCAACCGAGGTACGCGCCCTTAGCGGGAACCAAACCCGGGTCTCTCTGGACCTCAGGCCGATGCTCTAACCGCTGAGCCAAACCGGCCAGGGCGACACAGGCTCTTTTCGGAGCAGTAAAACTGTTCTGAAATTGATTGTAGTGGTGGGTGTGCAACACTACGAACAGACTAAAAACATGGAATTGTATTTAAATGGGTGAACGGCATAATATGCAAATTTGATTCCGTAAAGCTGTTTCAAAAAAGAATGGTATTTTTGTAAAAGCAGCTGAACAGCGTGATCGTCTGGACAGGACGCTAGTGTAGAGGGGGGACCCCAGAGCTGTTCACCTGACTTTGCATGGTTCCCCCCAGCTGATCTTGGACATGTTCTTCAAGCCTTGGGAGCCATGGAAATGAGGGAATAGCGTAGTATGTGCTGAGGGCTGTCTCGGGGACGAAATGGTTAGTATGGAAATCGTCTGGAATAGTGCCCAGCACCCAGAAAGGGCTAAGACTGTGTGAGCAGATTTCTGTTCCTCCCACAGCCCATCACAAGCCCAGGTGGCCGGATGTCAGCATCGCCCCCTTTGTCTCCTGAATAAGTTCCTAAACCCCGTCTCCTTTGTCAGGAAATGAGAGGTAATAACTAAGTATTCGCACAGCTGGCTCAAGGTCACCAGGAGAGGGGAAGGGCAGGGCTAGAGGACAGAAATGGCGATGGACCCACGGAGTGGGCATGGGACCTTGGCACACGCAGGGGAGGCTGGGAGCAGTCAGTTCCCACCTGGCATGGGCTGGGCACACAGAGGGCCCGAGCAAGTATCAGCCAAGTGTAACTGGCTGGGTAGGCTGAACAATGGTCCCCACAGACGCCCATGATTTAACCCCTGGAACTTGAGAATATGGGGCCCTGCATGGCAAAAGGGACTTTGCAGCTGAGATTCAGTTAAGGATTCTGAGATGGAAGAGTCTCCTGCGTCATCCGGGTGGGCCCACGGTCATCACAAAGGTCCTTCTAAGTGACAGAGGCAGAGGTCAGAATCGGATTCTGAAGGCGCTCTCTTGCTGGCTTTGAGGTTGGTGGAGGGGCCACCTTAGCTGAGGAAGACAGGGGGCCTCTAGAAGCTGGAAAAGGCAAAAAAGTGGGTTCTCCCCTAGAGTCTCCTGACCCCTTGATGTTAACCACGTGAGAACCATTTCTGACGTTCGACCTCCAGAACTCTAGCTAGCGTTACTCATGCTGAGGTTACTCATAATATCATACCATCCAGTATGATGATAAGTTCGCCTCGAGCCAGTGCTCTGGTAATTGGTGATGGCTGCGATAGAAGCCTTTAACTCGCAGCTCTGTTCTGTCTTCTCTCAGGGAACTCGTTGACCTGGGGAAGCTGGTTCCTCTGAACTGACCATGGAGAATTTAATCTTGACTCCATACCAGCTGAAAAGGCTCTTGCAGGAAGTCACCCCTGACTGATCACCTTCTTTGCCTTCTCTCAGCATTAATGGTCTTCACACTCCTCACACTGACCTACAAGGACCAGCATGATCAGACCCCGCCCCTTCTAGACCTCCCCCTTCCCACCCCTACTCCTCACTCACTCTGCTCTAGCCACACCAGCCTTCTTTGTGTCCCTTGAGCACACCGAGCTCATTCCTACCTCAGGGCCTTTGCTCTCGCTGTGGCTTCTGCCTACAATGCCCCTCCCCCAGATCTCTTTGTGGCTGGCTCCTACACTTCAGTCAGATCTCAGCTCAGATGTCACCTTCTCAGGGAAGCCTTCCTGACTGCCCTACCTATTAAACCCCACCCTGGCCAGCCTCTCTAATAGCTCCCTGTTTGGTTTGCTTCATAGCATTTATTATAACCTGATGTTTTAAAAGATATTTTTGTTTAAAAAAACAATCTTACACTAGAGGTGCACCATTCCACGAAGTAGCCATAAGCCACATGTGGCTGCTGAGCTCCTGAAATGTAGATGGTCTGAGTGAATGAACAGGAAGAGTTAAATACTCGCTGGATTTATAAGGTGGTACAAAAAAAAAAAAAAAGAATGCAAAATATCGAATTTATAAGGTGATGAATGTTAACATGTAAACTAAATGTACTCTGGTGATTATTTCCCAATCCATACATGTATCAAATCATTATGTTGTACCCCTGAAACTAATACAATGTGTTGATTATATCTCAATAAAAATAATTTCTTGCCCTGGCTGGTTTGGCTCAGCAGTTAGAGCGCCAGCCTGCGGTCCAGACAGACCTGGGTTCGGTTCTTGCTAAGGGCACGTACCTCGGTTGCAGTTTGTCCCTGGCCCTGGTTGGGTTGTGTGGGAGGTAGCCACTCGATGTGTCCCTTTCACGTCGATGTTTCTCTCTCTCTCTCTCTCTCTCTTTCTTCCTCTCTCTCCTTCCCACTCTATCTGAACAAAAAATGGAAAAATGTCCTCGGGTGAGGATAAAAAATAATAATAAAATAATTTGTTACATTGATTGCATGTTGAAATAATAAAGCGGTGGGCAAAAGCAGGTTTGCAGTAGTTCCTATGGAAAAAGACATGTAGCCTTAGCTGGTTTGGTTTGGCTCAGTAGTTATGTGTCAGCCCAAGGACCAAAGGGTCATGAGTTCAATTCCCAGTCAAGGGCACAGGTTTGATCCCCAACCCCAGTCAGGGTCCTGAAGGAGGCAGCCAATCGATGTGTCCCACTCATATGGATGTTTCTCTCTCTCTCTCTCCCTCCCTCCCTTCCATTCGCTCTAAAAATCAATGGAAAAATATCCTTTGGTGAGACTAATAAAGAAAACAAACATGTAGATTATGATTATTACAATAGCTCTATTAACTCAAAAGAATGTCACTCACAACTATAAACTTACTTTTGCCCACCCCTGTATTTTGGATAGACTAGGTTTGATATGTTATTGAAATTAACCTCATCTATGTCTTTTCATTAATGTCACAAGCTACATTATATTTCTTTTTTTTATCCTCACCTGAGGACATTTTTACATTTATCTTCAGAGAGAGTGGGAGCAAGAGAGAGAGAGAAAAACATCGATGTGAGAGAGACATAGCAACTGGTTGCCTCCCGCACGACCCCAACCAGGGCCGGGGATAAACTGCAACAGAGGTACGTGCCCTTAGTGGGAACCGAACCCAGGACTCTCTGATCCGCGGGCCGACACTCTAACTGCTGAGCAAAACCAGCCAGGGCGTCACATTAGATTTCTATGGGACAGCACTGTGCTAGAAATTTGGGTCCCTGATGGCTAAGACCTCATCTGCTGTGGTCACCGCTGGCTCCCAGAACAGTGCCAGGCACACAGTAGGTACTCAGCAAACACATTTGTTTAATGACTAAACGAACCATACACGCTACTTACATTGTATCAGCTGGATCCACACAGCCACAGCTTCCTAACACCTGTGCGTTTTCCCACCTGCCCCGTGCCCCGGCCCCGCCCCTGCCCGGAGACCCAGCTCTCCTTTCCTCTCTGCAAGCAGCACCAGGAGGGCACTGAGGATGCTGTGGCCGGTCCAGGAGGTTGCAGACTCAGTAACCGGGTAGAGAAAGGGGGAAAGGAAGGAAGGAAGGGAGGAAGGAAGGAAGAAAGGGACGAGCAGATAAGATCAAGGGCATTTTCCACATGTGTGGAAATAACACCTTGAAGAGCCTTTGAGACCGCGGTGGGGGGTGGGGAGGAAATCAGCTGACTCTCTGGATTCCCCGAGAATACAAGTGAAGGGGTTTGGGCCTGGGATGGAGAAAAGGATGTACTCTGATTTATGAGGGCTTGTCCTCCGTGTTTACAAACAAGCCCTGCCTCTGAACACGCTGGTGTTTACTTCCTGGTGAGAGCGTCCAGAGGCGACAAGTTCAGCTGCCTGGGCATTCCATCGTCTCCTGGCCTGGCGGCCTCTGATGCCTCCCAGCCCAGCTGCAGTACTGAGAGCCAGGGCCGGGGGGAGGGGCATGGGTGCTAGGATTTCTCTGTGACCTGGGCTAAGCCCCTTGGCCCCTGTTAATAAGAAGCACGAGAGGATTTCAAAGCCCCCTTCCCTTCCTGAGAGAGAGAGCCACCTGGGGTGGGGGTGGGGTGCCTGGAATGGGGGTGAGGTCCCCAATATCAGTCTATGAGCACCTCAGTGGAGGCCTCTCCAGGCCTAAAGGCAATGTTAACACTTACAAGGCCTTTGCAATGAACCAGGCTCTGTCCTGAGCACTTTACATACGTGAACTCCTGTAATTCTTACCACCACCCCACAAGATGGGCCCTGTTATTATCCCCATTTCACAGCCGAGGACACTGAGGCACAGAGAGGCTAGGTGACTTGCTCAAGAGCCCGTGAGTGGGAGGGTTTGAAACCAGGCTGTGTGGAATCACAGCGCTGGGGCATTTCAAGCTGCCAGGTTGATTTTGGAAACGTTGCCTAACTCTAGGGAGCTTGAGTTTCCTTCCTGACCCCAGGGCAGAGGGACCTATGAGGACAGACACAGTCCAACTGCACAAACACTGGTGCTCTTAACCACCAGGATCTGCCCTCGGGTAAGACTGCGGACACAGCCCGGGCTATTTTCACGAAAACACTAGGACTTCAAAGTACCCATGGAAAGGGGTGACGGCCCCGCTGAGAGGTTCAGAGAGGCCACGTGTGTTTCCTGAGGCCACACAGCAAGCCACAGCCTGTCAGCCTCCCTGATTCCCCTAAGGAAAGGCGTTTCCTCCTATTCTCAGTCTGAAGGGTCTGACAGGAGCTTCCCTGGGCTGAGGTTGGGTCAGGAAACCAATCTCCCACTTCCTTTTCCCCAGACACCTCGTCTGGCCGAGAGAGGCCCTGATTCATGAGCCCAGAGGGATTCTTCTTCCCAAGGCAGAGGCTCCGCGTTAAATCTGCCCCAAATCGTCTCCTTCCCCCCAGTTTAAACAGGTGGAGAGGAGACACTCAAATTATAACTTGGGACAAACCCTCCCCCCTCCCACACACACACCCTCTGTTTTTTCAGCTGTAAAATGAAGGTAATAATTCCTACCTCACAGGGCTCTGTAAATAGAGATAAAATCAAGGAGGCAAAGCACCTGGGGCACAGGTTCAAGAACGGAAGGAACCCTGGGAAGCGGTTTGCAGATCAGAACCCAGAGCTGGAGGCCACATCCTCTTTGCTCTCTGGGGGGCTCTGAGCTAGGGTCAAAAAAGGGGGCGGGCATCACATTTTCTTGGGTGACAGTGAAAGGCAGGAAGCTGACTGCGTTTCTAAAGAAAGTATTATCTAGGCACTTTAATTACTATCCCGTTTAATCCTTGTAGGGTGGATCCCATTACTATCGCCACTTGGCCCGTAAGGAAATAAAGCACAGAGAGGTTAAGTAACTCACCGGGGGTCACAGAGCTATTAAGTGGTAAAGGTGGGACTGGAGCTGAGGTGTGACTCCAGAGAACTGCCCTGAATCTCCGGGGCGGTCTAGGACAGGTGCCCCTGGCTGGGCAAGAGAGGGCCAGGGGCCTCCCGTCATCCAGTCGGGTCCGCTCTCATCTAGTCCCTGCACACATGTGCGTGTGCCCAGTGCCCAAGGGCCCTCCGGTCCCAGCGGCCCCACTGCCCCGAGGGGCCGACCGAGGCCGCTGCCCACCTTCTGGTGCTTGCGCTCCTTCTCGATGCGGTCCATCCTCTCCAGGCGCAGGCGGTCCAGCTCCAGGCGCAGCTCGTCCAGCTCCGGCGCGACGTGGTGGCGGCTGACCAGCACCTCCAGGATCTCCAGGACGCGCACGACCTTGGGCATGAGGCGCGCGATGGCCTCGCAGCCGTGCTGGTCGATGACCCGCTCGAATTCGTGGCCCACCAGCGACGCGATGTCGTACACGTCCATGACGGTCAGCTCCGCCACGTTCTTCTCCAGGGCCGACTCGGCCGCCAGCGCCGACCCCCGGTCCTCCTCCATCGCCGCCCGCTCCGCCTTCGCCCACCCCGCCAACTAGTGCAACTCCCGAACTTGACGCGGGCCAGGCCAGCGCCGGGCCGGGCCCACCTCGCGCCGCGCTCAGCGGGCCCTGGGGCGGGGGCGCACCGGCCGGGCGGCCGGCGGCATGGGCGGCGCGGCGGCCGGGAGCCGGGTCAGCGCGCCGGGTGCGGGTCCGGCGCCCGCTCGGCCCGGATCCTGCTGCCAAGTGCGGCGCGGAGGAGGAGGGGGCGGCGAGGAAGGCGCGCGTGCGCAGGCCCGCGGCGCCTCCCAAGTTGGGAATCCGAGTTGGGCGCAATGGAGGCGGCGGGTCCGCCTGGAGAGGGGCCCCGCTGCCTTCGGAACCAGCTCTCGCCCGAGGGCCGGCCCCACGCCCAGCGCCTGGAAAGGAAGGGCGGCCGCCGCCGCTCGGGGAAACTTTGGCGGCAGCGAGGCCGGGTGACCGACTCCCCCCGCGGGGATGCCGCGCGCCCCGCCCCGACCCCGGCCTGGCGAGGGGCGCGTCCCGCTGCTTCCGCCCGAGGGCGCCCTGGGGTCCCCACGGCCGCCCCCTCCCACGCGAGGACTCGGCCGACCCGGCTGGGCTCCGCCCGCTCCCCTGCCCCTCCCCACCCGCCGGCGGCCCCCTCGCGTCCCCACGCACCGCCCCTCCTCCGCCGGGCTTGGCTCCTCCTCTCCCATCCGCCGGGGAGGGTCGCGGCTAGCCGGGCGCAGGGCGGGGGTGGCGACGGTGACGGGGTCGCTCCTCTCTGGACAATTGCCGCGCCGCGGGGCGGCCCCTGCCCGAAGAGGAACGTAGGTGGGGGTCGGAAGGTGGACCCGGGAATGGGGAGCGAGCCCGGCGGACCTGGCGGCGCCGGGCCCGGACTCCGGTAGGGGCGCACCCCATCCCCGGGAGAGGGGCACAGGGGTCGGGAGGTCCTCTGCTCCCGAAACTGCTCGCCCGCCGAGCCCCGTCCCTTAGCGGCTTGGCTCCTTGGGACACACAGGCCACTTTCTGGAGGAGGCAAGGCCGGGGTTAGGATTTCAGCACGCGTTTTCTCGTTCCAAAGCCCTTGTCCATCAGACATCCCTCCACCAGAGCCTTTCCTGAACCCACAACCCCTCCCCCTTCTTACCCCGCACGCAGGGGTTGGGACCTTCTTGCACCCCTACAGCCTGCTGCCTGCCCCCATGAAACTGCCCTTAGCCTACTGAGTTCGGACGGTGTGGGCACACCTACGCCGCCGCAGCTACCTAGGAGCTCCTTGAAGGCAGAAAAAGCTCTTAACGCCCCTGGAGCCATAAATCCCCCTCCAACCTGGCACATGTGGATTAAAACTTTTAAAAATGAAAGCCCTGGCTGGTTAGTTAGAGCGCGGGCCTGCAGACCAGAGAGTCCCGGGTTCGGTTCCGCTGAAGGCAGTACCTCGGTTGCAGGTTGTCCTGGGCCCTGTTGGGGTTGTGTGGGTGGCAACCAGTCTGTGTGTCTCTCTCACATGGATGTTTCTCTCTCTCCCTCCCGCTCTGTCTGAAGATAAATGCAAAAATGTCCTCGGATGAGGATAATAATAATAATAAATAAACATGTATGCCTAGGAAAAAAAAAAATTCAGAAGGCCCTGGCTGGTGTGGCTCAGTTGGTTGGGCACCATCCCATGCACCTCGCTCGATTTCGGTCAGGGCACATGCCCACGTTTCTGGGCTTGCCCGCCTGTGGATGTTTCTCTCTCCATCCCTCTCTCTCTAAAATCAGTAAAAACATATTAAAAACAAAAAAACATCAGTTTACATTTCTGCCCTGGCTGGTTTGACTCAGTGGTTAGAGTGTTGGCCCCTCGGTCGCAAGTGTTGCGGGTTCGAATCCAGGACCAGGGCATGTACCTAGGTTGCAGGTTTGATCCCCAGCTCTGGTTGGGGCAAGATCGGGGACCAGTTGATGTGTCTTTCTCATGTCGATGTTTCTCTCTCTCTCTCCCTACCTCTCTATCTGAAGATAAATGCACAAATGTCCTCAGGTGAGGATTAAACAAAAACAAAACAAAAACTGTGCCCTGGCCAGTTTGGCTCAGTGGTCAGAGTGTCGGCCTGCGGTCCAGAGAGACCCGGGTTCAGTTCCCGCTAAAGGGCATGAACCTCGGTTGTAGTTTGTCCCTGGCCCTGGTTGGGTCGTGCGGGAGGCAGCCACTCGATGTGTCCCTTTCACATCGATGTTTCTCTCTCTCTCTTCCTCTCTCTCCCTCCCACTCTATCTGAACAAAAAAATGGAAAAATGTCCTCAGGTGGAGGTGAAAAGAAACAAAACAAAACAAACACTGCCCTTGGAAAAGGTTCTTTCGACCAAAAGGTTTCAGAACTGCTGCCTTACAAAACAACATCCTAAGTATCAGCACTATTGTACAATGAAGAAACTGAGGTACAGAAAGGTCATATAACTTGCCCAAGGCCAGGCAGCCAGGAAGTGCTAAAACCCGGGTCAGGTCTGTGCACAGCAGCCCCGTGAAGTGGACATATTACCCCCACCCTAGGTCCAGGACAGCGAGGAACAGGGAGGGGCATTAGTTTCCTGTGGCTACTGTAACAAATAGCCACACACTCATTATGAAAAACTGCTAATATTACAGAAGGACAGAGAACAGTATAATGAGCTTCCATGGTCCCATCACCCAGCTTCGACAATTATTAACAAAATGGCCAGTCTTCATTCATATTCCCAACCATCCCACCCTCCAGTGGGTTGGGGTTTTTTTTCCTTTTCTCATTTGTTGGCTTTAATTTTTTGTTTCCTGTATTGATGTAGGGAGAGATAGAAACATCAAGAGGAGAGAATGTCGACTGGTGCATGGGTTGATGCTCAGCCAGTGAGCCACACTTGCCTGGCCCAGCGGGTGACTTAAAACAACATAAACGTATTCTCTGGCAGCTCTGGAGGCCACGAGTCTGAAATGAAGGTGTTGGCAGGGCCAAGCTCCCTCTGAAGGCTCCAGGGGAGGGTCCTGCCTTGCTTCTTCCAGCTTCTGGCTTGCTTGGCTTGTGGTCCCATCACTCCAGTCTCTGCCTGTCCGCACATGGCCTCCTCCCCTGGGTGTCTGTTTCTCCCTTTCTCCTATAGGGGCGCTTGTTACTGTCACACTTGAAAAAAATTAACAGTCGTTTCTTCATATCAAATATGCAGTGTGTTCAAATGTCAATTGTCTCATTTTTTTAATAGTTTTTTGGGGGGTTTAACTCAAGATACAAACAATATCTGCGTATTGAAATTGGTTGATATGTTCCTTAGTCTGTCTCTCTCTTTTTTTTTTTATTCTCACCCGCGGACACCCTTGCGTTTATCTTCAGATAGAGCGGGAGGGAGAGAAGGAGGAAGAGAGAGAGAGAAACATTGATGTGAGAGAGAGACATCGAGTGGTTGCCACCCACACGACCCCAACCTGGACTGGGGACAAACTGCAACCAAGGTACGTGCCCTTAGCGGGAACCAAACCTGGGACTCTCCGGTCCGCAGGCCGATGCTCCAACCACTGAGCCAAACCTGCCAGGGCTCCTTAGTCTCTTTAAATCCTCTTTTTTTCTTTTTTTTATTTCCTAGCCTTCACATTTATTTGCTGATGAACCTGGATTTTGTGTCTTATAGAGATTCTCAGTCTGGATTTTGCCAATTTTACCACTGTAAAGCCTTTTACTTTATTTTATTTTTTAATGTTTTCATTGATTTTTTAGGGAGAGATAGAAACATTGATGTGAGAAACATTGATTAGCTGCCTTCTGCATGCCCCCTACTGGGGATCGAGCCCCAAACCCCCAAATGTGCCCTGACGAGGAATTGAACCGGGACCTTCAGTCCATGGGACGACACTCCATCCACTGAGCCACACTGGCCAGGCACCACTGTAATACCCTTTGACATGTTTATATGTTTCTAAACTTCCTGTAAAGTGGTAGTTGAACCAAGAGATGCGATCTGATTTGAGGTCAGTTTATTTCTTAGTGGTGTGTTCTATCCTTTCTTTTTTTGGGAGGGGGTACTCATTTTTTAACGTTTATTTAGATATAAATCCCATGCAATAATACTCGCCCTTTTAATGTGTAGAGTCAGTGGTTTTTAGTATATTTACAAGCTTGTGCAATCACCACGCTCGTTTAGAATGTTTTCATTCACCAGACTTAGCAAGGGAGCCCAGATGCTGAGCAGGAACCGACAACATGACTTACAGAGGAGGGCATGCAAGTTTGGGCCAGAGTGGACATGTTGGGCAACAACAGAATGGGGATTAAAGGTCCCTCCACTAGAGGGCCTCTTTCTTCAACCACTCCACATACCATGACACTCAACCTCTTCTCTCCATAACAAGGAACAACTATTTAGCGTGTGGGCTTTCTAAGATATGTAAGGAGAACATGTTTTGTCTGTGCATGTCTTTCAAATAACCCACTGGGCCCAGCTAGTGTGGCTCAGTGGTTGAGCATCAGCCTACGCACCAGGAGGTCTCCAATTCGATTCCCACTTAGGGCACATGCCCGAGTTGTGCGCCAAATCCCCAGTGGGGGGCATGTAGGAGGCGGCCAATCGATGTTCTCTCTCATCGATGTTTCTATCTCTCCCTCTCTCCCTAAATCAATATAGAAAAAAATTAAAACAAACAACAAAACAAATAACCCACTGGAGGTGGGGTGGTTGGGAAAATGAATGTAGACTGGCCATCTTGTTGATAATTGTTGAAGTTGGGTGATGGGACCATGGAAGTTCACTATACTATTCTCTGTCCTTCTGTGATATTAGCAATTTTGCATAATAAATTTTTTTGTTAATTCTTATTCGAGGATATTTTTCCATAGATTATTTTTTAGACAGAGTGGAAGGGTGGGAGGGAGAGTGAGAGAAACATCAATGTGAGAGAGACACATTGATTGGTTGCCCCCCACATGGCCTCAACTAGGACTGGCAATTGAACCTGCAACCCAGGTACCTGCCCTAGACCAGGATCTGAACCTGAGACCCTTCGGTCTGTAGGCTGATGCTCTAACCACTGAGCCAAACTGGCCAGGGCTTTATCGTAATATTTTTTTAAGTTTATTTTT